GGGGGGGGGGGGGAAGGGGGAAAGCCGGACTCTTTTTGAAGTGCCCGCCTCCGACAGACGGGACACACTCTGAGAGACACGCCATTGCACTACATTACATTGCAGTGCACTACATGATCTCAAGCTTCCAATCCTCAGAGCAAATGTCCCAACGTACTCATTGTCGCATCCATGGAGGGCAAATCCCGTGATGGAAAGCTGATAGACTGGTCTACCTCTGACGTACTGACCACCACAACAGCAGCAAGACAGCAGCGGGGCGGCCAAATCACATCCAAATCACGGCCATAGCATCGATGTCCTCTCTCTCTTTCTCTCTCTCTCTCCCCAGCAATGGATGGATGCGGGCAGTGCACGGAAAGATTAGCCCATCATGTTTGCAGTACACACACGTGGCCATGAAAGCCCAAGACCAAGGTAAAAAAGCCTCGGTCTGTGGTACCATACCACAGCACAGCACAGCACAGCAAAGACAGCACACGCACCCACGCACTTGATTCAAACATTGCATGAAGCACGTCCCTTCATTGTACACGACCAGTGAGTACAGCAACGCCTGCCACACGCCATGTGTGTGTGTCACATCGAGAGAGCACTCAGTTTGCCCTCTCGTGAACGGTCATCCATCGCACACACAGTCAGACTAGCGCATCGCATCGGCATCGCTTTCTCTCACAGTGCAGTCAGTGGACAGACAGACAGACAGACAGACGGACATAGACGGACAGAAATCAGTCACATTCTCACAGACATAGGCATGCGCAGGCCTGCCTCATCAATAGTGCCTCGAGTGCACTCACTGTACGAATGAATGGTACTGTACTGGATGGTATGCAGGGGATGGGCTGGATGGATGGATGGATGCATCGATCTCATCGATCTTCCCCACCGCCCGCCCCCGAGGCGCCGTTCAGCATCCATAGAATAGACGCACATACATCCACTCACATATTCTCCCCCCCAGAGGCCGGGAGGTACAGACGAACCCAACACACACACACACACACACACACACAGACAGCAGGAATGCACGATAGCATAGCACTGACCGACTGGAATGCAAAAATCGAGCAAACCAGGTCAGGTAGGTCAGAGCACCCAGACGTTTCGTCCGTGCGCTCACACCATGAAGGACATGCAGACAGACATGCACATTACAAGCCAGTGTGGGTCGGTCGGGGCGTCGTTCACGCGAGGCACGACCACTTGGCCTTGATGGGGTTGTCAGCCTTGGACTTGTAGACGAAGGCCCTTCGCCTGGCAGGCACACCACATGCCACACACCAACTCTTGTGTCTGGCCAATGTCGGTCTGTCTGTCTGTCTGTGTCAACCGCACTGACTTGGTGTGGTACGACGGCATCTGGAAGCAGGCCTTCATCCTCTCCAGCTCCCTTCGGCGGTGGTCGGCCAGGAGGCTTCGGAACGAATCGGCGTCCACCATTTCCCTCTTGGTGTCCAGGAGTGCGTCGAGACTGGCCTGGTCATCCACCAGCGCCTCTGCCTCGCGGATGACGGCCGCCACGAAGCTGTCAGGATCCGTGCCGAAGACCCTATCGACCATCCCGAGGCCGAGGGCCTGCTTGGCCGACATCGGCTCGCTGCCTTCGGTGATGGCCAGCGCCTGGTGGTGGCCCACGCGCTTCGGCAGCGAGTAGGTCCAGTATTCGCTGCCGTAGAGGTCCAACGCCTTCACAGCACACACACGCACACACCCAGACACACACAGACACCTCATGGGCAAGGCACACACAAGGTGGCTGCCACGCACCCTCCTACCTACCTTGTAGGAAGGGTTGAGCACGACCCGTGGGTGTGTCCACACGTAGTCGGCTGCCAGTGCTGCCATCACGCCACCTGCAGGCACACCAGGCCGGCCATTGTCATTGTCGTCTGTCTGTGACAGTTAGTGCATCAATCAATCAGTGTGTGTTGGTTGGCGCACCAGCTCCCGCGTTGCCACTCATGGCCGAGATGGTGAGTTTGTCGTGGCACAGCAGCACCTCGCGCACCACATCGTCTATCGCGTTGATGTTGGCCCTAACACACACACACACACTCTGCTACAGCTGTGGTGTGTGTGTGTGTGTGTGTGTGCAGGAAGGTGCACACCCTCAGTCACTCACCATGACTCGTCGGCCTGCTCCTGCATCCCTCCGGCTGCCTCAATGACATTTAGGTGGATCCCGTTGCTGCAGCCACGACAAGGGCAGCGCAGCCAGATGTGTTGTGTCTGTCGATGTGTGTGTACCAGAAGAAGTTGAGTCCGCCCATGAGCACCAGCACCCGAACGTCGCTCTCTGTCTTGACGCGCTGCAGCACCTCCGCAAGACGCCGTCCCTGGTCAGTGCTCATGGCACCGTTGTAGAAGTCGAACCAAAGATGACACACCCCCTGCACACACACACATACGCACCATTGCTCGCGCGTCGCTCCGGCGGTCTTGTCTTTACCCACCCGATGTTTCCAGGCCCAGATGTCCTGCTTTGTCTTGGGCAGGCTGCCCACCGGCAGCCAGAGGGCGGCGAGTCGAGCGTCAGCTCGGGCAGGGACCCGGTGATGTGTTTGCTGAGCACATTCACGGGGGGCGCCTTGAAGAACCTGCTTTCCTTGGTGTTGAGCCGCTTGGCCTGCGACACCCACATGGCCGTGTTGCCACCACATTTGACGAGCACCGCACCCTCCCGGTGGCCGATGAGCGACTTGGGAGGGAGGGCGCACTGCGACAGGTCCATCAGGCACTCAGTCGAGAAGCCATACAACAGGTAACTCTCGCCTGCACACACACACTCTCACTCACACACACACGTGTCAATCGGTTTCCTCTCCCTGGCTAACTGACCGTTGAAGACTTCGAGGACGCCAGGCTGCGTCTCCGAGGCGTTGCAGCGCCGCACCACCTCGGCCGCCTCCATGGACCAGTCAATCTTGCGCTCTTTCTGCCTCATGCATGGCAGGAACGTCCCCTTGTGGGCCAGGCACTCGAGCGGCATCGGCGCGACCCCGTTCTCCACCATGGTGAGGGCCTCGGTGATGGCTGCCATGGCCGCCTGATTGACCTCGCGCCGATACACGCTGCTCTTGGTCAGGGGCGGGCTAAAGGCGTGAGGGCGGCGCAGGGACACCGTGGTCGTGGCGTACACATCACCAACGTCGACCTCCTCGGCGGCCTGCACCCGCAGAGCACACCCCATCAAGCAAGGACCGTTTGTGTCAGTCAGTCTGTGTGTCTGTCTGTCTGTCTGGTGCAGCCTGCACGCACCCGCACACCTGCATGACAGTCACGCCCCACTCGAGCTCGCCGCGCATGAGTGCCCAGTCGATGCTACTGGCCCCTCTGTCGCCCACCACACCTGCACACACGTCGATGGTGTGGTGTGGGCGGATGCAGTGAGCGGCCGTGCCTACCCACCTGGGTGTACGATGAGGCAGGGGATGTGGGGGTGGTTGTAGAGCTCCTCGGGAACGATCTTGGTCAGGAAGGGGCACAGCATCACCTAATAAACATATTTTGGAAGGCAGGCAGGCAGGAGCATTGCAGACTATATGAATGAATGCATCTCTTGAGAGAGTGGGCCGGGTGTGAGAGGAAGGGAGGTAGGAAAGGTATGATATGATCTTGCTTACGTCCACGGGGCGACCCGTCTTCTGCTCGGCGGCCAGCAGATCCAGCGTGTGCCTCAGCGAGACGTACTCGGTCCTGACGACCTGGCAAGGCAATGCGATGCGAGACCAGGGAACCAACCAAGTGACTGCCTTGTTCTCAGACTGCACTGCATGCCGCGCGTGCGTACCTTGTGGCCTATGGCGGTGACGTGCAGGTATGCGCTCTGACTCATGCTATTGAAGGCATCGTACAGGAAAAACACCTTCATCTTGGCTTTTTTGCTCGTGGCTGGCCGACAGCCGACAGGCACACAGGAGCTGGCGCTGACCGGATAGGCAAGAAGATCCAAAGATCAGTAGATATTTACCATGGAAAACCCTCCCAGGTCAAACCCTGCGAAGAAGTCGCGAGCTTCAGCTCGCAGACCGAACCCCTGACGCCAGGCGAGACGGAACCCCTTCTTCTGAACCCCTTCTTCGAAGATTCTAAACGAAATCTGTTGAATACACGCCGCTGATCATACTGCCGCTCATCCACCGCCAATCGGAAGTTGTTGAAGTTGGCGACCGGGGAGTCTGCTGCTGCTGGCTTACGTGCTGGCTTACAAGAGGTATGGCAAAGGGAGTCCAGGGGACTGCTGCGACTCCAAAACAATGGAGACAGGTGCAAACTGCTGTGCAGACGGTGAACGCTGGTGCTGCTGGTGCTGGCTGATCGCGGGGGGGAAGACCAAGCTGAGGTTTATCCGCCTCACCTCAAGCAGATGATAATGTCGTGACCAGGTGCGCCAGCAGTGGTTGAAGGATGATGTCACGGATTACGGTGTGTGTCTGTGCACCCATGCAGGTGTGTGACTCGATGTGATGGCCCAATCGTCGTCTGCCGCATCGCAAGCACCTCTTGCTGTGCCGCCACACGGCTGCAAGGGGCTGGACGACGTCGATATCGTCAGTGGCATCCATCATAGTGATGATGATGCGGGCATTAGTCCTCTTAGCCGACGGTTGCTGGAGGGCTGCATTCGCCGCACCTTCACCGATGGATCGCAAGTCACACGGCTGATCCAAGAAGGAGCCGACCCGAAAACGAGGGGCCGCCTTCGTGTCCGCGGCACCAAGAATGGTTGCGGCTCCCTGTTCTCGCCATACAGCTGCCTGTCTTTCGCCATCGACAGCCCATCAAACACGCCATACCTTCGAGCGGACTGGCCTTTTCCTGCCACAGTGCGCGTTGTCCTGCCGCAGTGGTCCTCCCGTGAGCTACAGCGTGACGTCATCAATGCACTCATTGACGGCGGGGCGGACATCGATTATATGCATATGGTGGAGAGGCCCATCAAGACGGCGATCCGTGCGGGCAACCTGACGGCTGTGGAGGCATTGCTGGCGCATCAGGCCAACGTGCAGGGGATGATAAAGCTTCCCTACGTCCACGGGAATTCATTCGTCCACGATGATATTATTGACTGGTCTCGCGTCGCATTGCCAGGTCGTCAGGACCGAGTACGTCTCGCTGGAGCACACGCTGGATCTGCTGGCCACCGAGGAGAAGACGGGTCGCCCCGTGGACGTGAGCAAGATCATACCTTTCCTCCTCCCTCCTTTGCATCTCAAGGAATGCATTTATCGTCTGCAATGCGCCTGCCTGCCCGCCTGCCTGTCTTCTGCTCGGTGGCCAGCAGATCCAGCGTGTGCTCCAGCGAGACGTACTCGGTCCTGACGACCTGGCAAGGCAATGCGATGCATGACCAGTCAACACATAAGCGACCAAGTGACTGCCTTGCTCTCAGACTGCACTGCATGCGGCGCGTGCGTACTTTGTGGCCCATGGCGGTGACGTGCAGGTATGCGCTCTGACTCATGCTATTGAAGGCATCGTACAGGAAAAGCACCTTTATCTGCCGGACAGGCAGACAGGCAGGCAGGCAGGCAGGAGATGGCGCTGAGTGGATAGACGGCTGAAGGGAGCGGAAGATCTGCCTTCCCAGGCCCGAGAAGTGGATGTTTACCACGGAAAACCCTGCCTGGTCAAACCCTGCACGGGGTTTGGGAAGTCGCGAGCTTCAGCTCGCAGAGTGAAGATTCTAACGAAATCTGCTGACACGGCAGCGCAGAAACACTTAATAGCGTGGTGCCCGGTGGACGAGAGCCGGATGAATTCTGCATCGACACGGTCCCTGTTCTGAAGGCCCCACGACAAGCGGCGTAGGAGGTCGGCCGAGCTTATTCGCTCTGTGGATGAGTAATGGAGCCCCAACAGGCACCCAGGTAGCCCAATGGCGGCAGAAAAGAGATAAACACACAGCACCTCACGCCCAGACGTCACTTGAGACGCCCCCTTTTCCTCCTGTCCGTGTGTGTGTGTGCGGCGTGCAGCCCTGCCGTCAGCTACCCCTCCCCCCCTCTCGCCCCCTCCCCACCTCCCCTGCCCAGCCATCCAAGACCAACACTGGCACCGAAAGGAGATGTCACAGCGCCCCAGCCACAGCCACAGCCACAGCCGCCCCTGTCGTCTCCCCCTCCCCTGCTGTCGTCAGCTGCTGGGGTGGCGGGCCAGCCCGCTGTTCAGCCGCCCCCACCGGTGTTGCCGCCTGGTGGATTGGAAGCACTTGGCGCTAGATTGGCGGGCTATCCGTTTTTTGACAGAATGCGCGCCAAAGAGTGAGCTGAGCTGGGGGGATGGAAGGAGCAGAGACAGACATGTTTGTATCCTGAGCATTGAATGCTGTGCTGCTTGTTGGTCCGGTCCGCTGCAGGCGTCTGCAGGAGTGTGAGCTGCCGGTTCGTGTGGTGCCGCCGCCTCCTCCCCCACCCGTTCCCCCGCCCCTTGACCTGAGGGAGCATGTGTTGGGTGTGCATCTGATGGACACTGACCCCCGGAATGCCAGCAGCAGCCTCAGCTACGCCCCGCCATTCCACCTGCCCAATCTGCCCATCACGGGCGCGCCCTTCTATCGGCTGCACTTCATCGACCGCACGACACCCAATGGCCGGTGAGAGGGGGAATAATGGGTGGTAATGGTGCATGTCGATGCTGATTGGTGTGTGGTGCCTGCAGGTATATGGTGAAGAGCGAGGCGTCGAAGATCGCAGTGTATGACCGCCCCCTGTCGTCCTTCAGTGCGAGCGGCGTGCAGAAGCAGATGCTCACCCCGCACATACTGCCTTACACCTCCGCACCACAGAGGCCCCCACGTACGCAACGCAGCCCGCCCGCCCTGTCACACTCCCCCTGTATGTATGTGCCTCCCCTGTCTGTCTGTAGGTGCGTCTCTGGTGCTGATGGAGCCGTTGGCTTATCTGATGCAGCGCCAGTGCCTGCTTCTGGTGGAGATGCTCGCCCCCTGCAAGCACGGCTACCAGATGGACAAGAAGGCCAGTGGCGGTGCGTCGGTGGTCCGGCTTGCCTGGGGGTTCCTGTCTCTGCCGCACCTGCACGCCGCACTGCAGGCTGACGCTGAGCTGAGGGGACAGAGGAGGGCGCAAGGGGGGACACTCGTGAGGGGGGATCGGGGAGGGGAGAAGGACGATGGGAAGCCTGCACTCAGGACGCTCAGGAGAAAGCTCAGGTGCGTGCCACACGAGACAGACAGAAGGAGAAACAAAACACCCGATAATGAATGTGGTGTGCTGGGCGGTGTGTTGTGGTGTGTCAGGCTGACCCTTTATCGATATGCCTACACCCCTCCCTCCGAGAACGCCCCCCACCTCATCTCCCACCCAGCCGCCCTCTCCGACACGTCCTCACCAGGCGCTCTCGCCGGTCCCGCAGCCCCCGTCGCCTACTTTGAGTACGTGTGGCCGCGCAAGAAGCCGGCCCCCTTCACTCTCACCCTCACCGTCGACCTCATCCCCACTCAGCTGGCGATGGAAGCCCTCGACATCACCTCAGACACAATGCGGTATGTGATGGAGAGCAGGGAGGAGCCGAGGAAGCTGCCTTTGCCGACGGCCAGGGCCGTGAGGGAGGGGAGGGAGGAGAGAGCGGGGGTGGAGGAGCTGATACCAATGGACGAGGCCAGGCGGGAGGCTGGGACATTGTGCGTGGTGCCCGAGAGACTTGCTTACGAGTTGCCGACGGCGGAGAGCGGGTGCTCGCGGCTAGCCTTCCATCCCCAGGGGGAGTTCCTTGCTGCCGCCGTGGCCAGGAGGAACAGGTGAGGGAGGGAGGGAGGGAGGGAGGGAGAGACGTAGAATGTCAGCTGGGATATATGGATGCCGCCTCCTCGTCATTTGTCTCAGGTTTGACCTTCGCGTGTTCCGTGTGCGTGACGGCGTCCTCACCGCTGTTCTGAAAGGTGAATGAACACCACCCGCCTCCGCCTGAATATGCACCTTCTTGCTCCTCTGTCTTTCTGTCAGGCCATCAAGCTTTGGTGTATGACCTAATCTGGTGTCCCCTTCCCTCATCTGCCGCCCCGTCGATGCGTGAGGTGCAGCCGCCCCCTGATGAGCCCATGATACCCCCCGGCCAGTTTGACGCGACCACAGGGAGATCGGGGAGATCTGAGGGCGCCACTGTAGGGTTGCTCAAAAACTTCCTGCGATCGTTCAGAGGCCAGCCGCCCGAATCGTATAGACACGGTGAGAGGGAGAGGGAGAGAGGGAGAGAGGGAGAGAGAGGGAGAGAGACATGTTGACATGGATTGGTCACTTGTGCAGGTGCTCAGCAGCCACAGGCGGCATCGGATGACGTCTCTCCTCCCGCTCTGTCCAAGAACGCGGCGATGCTTATCAGTGCAGGGGGCGACGGCACCGTCAACGTCTTCGAGTGGCCGCCACCCAGCACGTCGTCACTGCTTGACACCGCCGCCACTTCGGCGATGGTCGAGCCGGATGTGGTGCTGTACCACCCCAGCTATGTGTATTCTGCACACGCCATAGCCACCCCGCCAGAAGGCCGGAGGCACGTGACCTTCCCCACACTCACCGTGGCTGTGGGGGGCTATGATTTCGGGATCAAAGTTAGTGAGACACAGAGGGAGGAGAGGGAGGGGAGGGGAGACGTGATGCGATGCCCTTTGTCCTTATGTTCCTTATGTGTCAGTTGTGGCGTGTGTGGAAGTCCTCTGCGGCCGACCAGCCCCAGCAGCCGTCGCTCTTTACGTCACCAGCACCAGCACCCCCCACCACCCGTCCCCTCATCTCTTCCCCAGTATCCCCCCCGCCCCCGCCCGACTCGCCATACCACTTTACACCAAATGGACAACATCCACACGGCCGCATGCAGCAAGAGCGGTGGCACTGCGAGTTGCTGCTGTCAGTGCCGCTGCCCGACATCGGCTCTGCGTGGGACGAGAGGGATATGGGAGCGGGGCGGACGAGGGTGCGGCCGCCGACGCCCACACGGGGAGGGAGGGATGAGGGGAATGGAGGGATCCCGCAGGTGCTGTGTGTGCGGTTTGCCCCCACCCGCCCGCACCATTTGTATGCCTCGCTGTCCAATGGGACCTTGTGCATGTGGGCACTGCACTTCTATCAAGGTCAGGGAGGGAGGGAGGGAGGGAGCGACAGACACACCCAGACAGACAGACAGCAGGGATGTGTGTGTGCCGTTCGTTGCATGTGCAGGTGAGCCCCTGCAGCTGACGTTGATCCGCTCCTTCCTCCATCTCGACCTGGTCGGCACCCCCCTGCACCACTTCCAGCTGGCACCCACCCCCCCGCCCCAGATGTCATCATCAGCACCCCTCTCGCCCACACCCAGATCGCCCCCAGCTGCAGCGTCGCTCGACCAGTGCGTGCTGCTCAACACCAAGGACAACCTCGTCCGCATGGCCAGGCTCCACCACGCGTCGCTACACATCGATCAAATCCTTGCCGGCTCCCAGTGCACCACACACCCCATTCGCAGCGTCCTCTCACCAGATGGCCGCTTGGTGGCGTCTGGCTGCGAGTCGGGCCGCCTGGTGCTGTGGGAGGTGGCATCGGGTCAGATGAAGAGCGACCAGCCAAGGGTGCGGGCGCCTGCACCGGTGATGGCTGTGGCGTGGTCGCCCACTCATCATATTCTGGCGTGTGCGGCTTATGGGAGGGCGGCGGGGGACGCCCCGATATTGGTCTTCTATGGGGTGACGCCGAGAGAAGGGGAGCAGCCGGTTGCCACAGCTGGGTAGGAGTGGAGTGCATGCAGGACAGGACAGGGCAGGACATGGCCTCCAAACACACACACTCAGAATGGAATGGTGTGATTGATGTGTGTGTCTCCTGCACTCACTCAGGGTGCGGCTATCGGTGTCTCCGCGGATGATGATGGCCCGTCCGCATGTGCCTCCGATCGGCCTGCCCCTCGCCCCTCTGCAGGGGGAGGAGACACTCACAGACTGGGCCACACGGTAGGTATGCCTCCATCCATCCATCCATAGTCACCATGGCTCTCTATTCTGTTTGTGTGATCGTATCGCAGGTGGATCGAGGGCACACAGGGCGGCCGTCTGGTGGACCGGCCGACCAAGCAGCGCATGAAGGCCCAGATCCTCGAAGATCTCATCGACACACGGCTCTCCCGCCCCCCGCCCCCCGCCATGCTCTCAGTCTCACGCGCACCGCCGACGCCCCTGCCCCCGCCAGCCATCCCGGTGCGGCGGCCGGCGAGCGCCAATCTGGCGAGGGAGAGAGAGCCGCCTCGGTTTGGAGGGGGGGATGATGAGCAGCAGGAGTTCGAGAGTACGCTCAGGCATCTGGAAGAACATGTTGTGGGTGAAGGGGGTTTCGGTGGGGGTGTGCGTGAGGTGCGTCCTGCCCCTGCCCAGCGTGCCGCTGTGACAGAGGACCAGGTGATGGATTTCGATGATGACTGACTGAGGACCATCTTGTCTTCCTCCACTGTCACTCCTTGATTGCTGTGCATGTCACTGTATGAAACTCTACAGCCAGTGGGCTTCATGTCTCACATAAACACGAATGTGCCGTGCCGCCCATATTGGACAACAACACGCAGACGACACATACATGTAGTCTTTGCCTGTCGCGGCGGAATGACACACTACGACGCACAGACAGACATCCATCGACAGATTGACGTGGTGCTCACTTTCCCCTCCCTTCTCAGATCGGCGTGATGAAGGGAATGCGGGCGAATTTCCGACTCAAATTCCGATTTCGTGTCGGCTTCGCCCCCGACTAACATCATACGGCGGCTGCGATGTCGGCTGGCTAAATCCCAGAGGGATGGGCGTGAGAGGGCGATAAGTGACGCGAGACATGGAGGGATTGGTGAGACACACGGCCGGGACGTACATCACGCACTGGTACTGCACTGCACACTGCACACCACCGTGCCATGCAGACAAACATGTATGTTTGTGTCACCGGAATGGTGCGTCAGGGAAGCCCAATAAATCGTTCCTGAAGACCCAGGCCATGACATAGCCCACAGCAGCCGACAGAAAATCCCTCGACGCAGACACCTCTACAGTTGTAGCACACCTCCCACCCCCATCATAATGATCCCTATCGACACCACCGTGACCACCATCATCATCATCATCATGACCCCCATCTCTACCACTACACGTGTCCCCATCGACAGCATCAGCATCAGTAGCGCTATCAACAACGGGCGCAGCAGCTGCCACAGACGCCCTGTGTCTCTGCCGCATGTAGTCACCGAGCAGAGAGCGGCTCGACCCGCTCGTCTCGGAGTCGGGGAGCGCCGGCACGGTGTCTTCGTCGCCACCATGACACACACCGAGGCTGCTCAGGTCCACATTCTCGAGAGCCTGACTGTCCTTAAGCACCTGCAGATGGGCTTCCAGAGAGCCAAGGACGCCTCTGCTGCTGCTGCTGGTGGTGTCGGGTGACGGGAGGGGTAGCAGAGAGGCGTCGGATGTGTCGCCCATGGGCAGCATCTCCGACTCAGCAATGGGGCGGAAAGACGGCGACGCCTGGCTGAGGTGACAGGCCGACTCCACGTCTGCCTGGGAGGACGGCCGCATCGCCAGACCACAAACATCGCCCTCGAGCCGCTCTTCCGTCATCGCTGAGTCACCGTAGACGAAGAAGGTGCACTCGTCGTGTTGCTGCCCCGCGTCTGTGTAGTCCAGGAACGATTCAGCGGCGTGCATCGCTCCACCTTCATCGTCAGTGGTCGCATGAAGGTGCTCGTCAGTCGAGGACAGACCGCTGCTCTCGATGCCTCCCACACTGGCTCGCATCCGGGGGGTGACCGTCAAGAAGCTCTCGCCCTCTTCATTTGGCGGATGCTGGCCATGTCTGTCATCCGCCAATGTCACTGGTGGCCGCTCGAAACAAAAGGCGAAGTCGATCGGCACGTTGGACAAAATCCTCACCCCCTTGATGCCCGGCTCGACCGCTTCCACGCCCAGGGCGCCATGAGGGCTCTCAGGCCGGCTGCCGACAGACTGCATGGAGCCGCTGTGCGGAGGCGGCGGCACGTGTGCGTGGGCGGGGCTCTGCATCGGGGCGGTGGAGGTAAAGGGGGGTAGGGTGGCTGCAGTGGGGATCGGGGGAAGGCTTCGGTGGTCGACAAATGTCCACTTGCCGTCGACAGTGGTCCTTCGTGAGAGTGAGAGGGGGTTGTTCCGAGACGGTGATGGCGATGCCGATGATGCCGATGTGGCGCCCCACAGTGAGGAGAGGGAGGCGATGCGGGGCAGCGAGGGCTGCAGTTCCACTGTGATGAGCACGTTCTGCCGCTGCAGGGCCGGCACCGACGATGCCGGCGATCCTGCCGAGTCACCCCTGCCCGTCGCCTCTCTGTTCCCGGCATGTTGGTTCTCCCTCTGCCGTGCCCGCATGACCCTCAGCAGCAGCGACAGGTTGGAGTCCCAGTAGAAGAGCTGATTCGTCACCTCCATCTCTCGCCGCCTCCGTCGGCTCTGCACGGGGGCGAACCAGGCGTGAAGGAATGTCCCTTCCTCTGTGGGCTGGTCGGTGCTGTCATCATGAGTCGGCATGAAAGAGGGAGGTGGTGAGGGCAGCAGAGGGGGCGACAGCGGGGATGGCAGCGCGGCGATGACGGGCGACTTGACGGCGGGCGGGGGGCAGGTGAACGATGCATACCCAGTGTAAAGGCCTGACAGGTCCGGCAGGGCCAGCGGATTGGCCGCCGTCGCTGCTGCGTGCAGGGGGGTGTTAAGGTTGCCCTTGTAGACGAAGGCCACGCCGGTATCGGCCAGTGCCGATGCGAGAGTGAATCCGCTCAGGTTGGTCGTGTTGAGGAAGTGGGCGATGCTGCGCCGGGCGGTCACCACCTCCTGCAGGAAGCTCGACCAGCACTCTGACCACTGCACAACCGTCGCGCCCGCCAGCAGCCTCTCCACATTGGCTGACAACAGGCTTCCTACCACGGCAGCCCCCCCATCCTCGCCCCTCACAGATGACACTGCCGGCTCGCTCTCCGTCCGGCCGATGTCCATCTGTGCCGCACAGCGGATGATAGGCGCTTGGTAGAAGGCCAGTCGCTCGATGGCCCGCCACTGTATGGTCATCATCTGCTCTGTCTTGGTGCTGCTGGTGTGGGGCGACGGAAAGGAGCCGGGCAGCCGAAGAAGCCCCTTAGACGTGAGTGTGCGCAGTGTTTCCCACTGGCTGCTAGCCCTGATCGCTGTGCGGGCCAGTCCTATCACCTCACGGAGTCCCTCGTCGATGCTCGACCGGACCGTCGCCCTGTCCTCTGCAGCGCTCTTGCGCGCCTCCTGTGTCCGTCTGGTGGGGCTGAGCTGCTCGTCATTATTACCACCACTGGCAGCACACTCGGGAAGCTCGAGAAGTGTGGTGGCATCGGGGCTGTAGAGGAGGCCTCGGAAGTGCTGAACGGCATACCGGTCCGCTGCCATCTTGCACACCGCCGCCGACACGTTACCATTCTGTTGACGCCCTCTGACGGGACAGCCGATCCCCACAACACGGTAATCCAGCCGCAGTTGCTGCCTCCGCCTCACATCACCAACACCACTGTCCTTGGCCAGCCGCGCTTGAGGCGTGGCCGGCGATGGCGTCTCGTCATGCCCATTGCTGCCGGGTGTCAGGCCGAGGGGCGACTGGCGCCAGCCACCACCGGCACTGAGGGAGAGGGGCGGGGTGTGTGCCTCCGCTAGTGTGGGAGGGGGTGCGGGAGACAGGGAGGGGGTCAGCGTCAGCTGAGGGGTCCGTCGGGTGGCAGGCAGGAGGGCCCGAGCGTGGGCCAGACGACGCGCAGCGAGGCTCACACGCTCCCGCCGGCTCATGTGCCACCTTCTGTCGGGTGGCAGCGGTGCTGCAGGTCGAGAGGCCTTGTGCATCATTACCATGGAGGGCCGCAAGACAATGCCGTACCAGCTGGTACCAGCAGTAGATGAGAGGAGGTGGTGGTGGTGGCAGTCTTGAAGGGCTCCGACCACTGCATGCAGGCCAGGCAATGAGTAATATTGATTGAGCCTGGGAAGGCTTCTTCTTTCTCGCACACCTTGCAGGGGCGCTGACGAGCCAGGGGGGATCAGGAAATCAGATGTCGCCCGCGACCTGACAACCAGGGCCAAGAATGCTATGCTGGCAGCAGCGTGATCCCCCCTGGCTCATTATTCCGCTGTCTGTGTGGTGTGGCATCTGACTGTTCCGTTTGGTCACCCACCTGAATGAGTGTGCCAGGCCAGTGAGGTCCCTGGTCGGCATCAGCAGCAGGTGGGGCGCCTCATCCTTTCTGCGCAAGGGGTCTTCAGCCACACCCACAGCCACAGCCGTCATGGCCACGGAGGCCTCACCATCGTCGGCCGGTGGAGGGTGCACATGGACCACCATCTCGGTGTCAGGTGTGGGTCTGTTCGATGGTGACCGCTCCTTGACCGCCGCCATGCCGAACCGCCAGCCGTCAAGACGGAAGAACCGCAGCAACGCATCGGCATCCGCCGTGCCACTAAACTCGTGCGTGTCCCTAGTCCCATCCTCCCCCTCCGATGCGCTCGCGACGGCCTGCTCCTCCCCGTCTGCACTCTGCTCGCGCCTTACAGAGGCCGACAGGCTGCCCGCCACCATGACGGTGCGGCTGCCCCGGATTCTCTCAGAGACCGCCGACACGGCTTGGGCGAAGAGTGTGGCGCCTCGAGAGAAGACCGAGGTGCCGAGCGCCGGGGGCGGGAGAGGCAGAGTCGCATCGTCATTCCCAGATGAGGCCTCCTGGAAGTAGTGCTGCATCACCAGACCGAGCCACCGCCAGACGTCGACGCCCATTTGGAGCGGTGATGGCCGAATCTGCTGCTGGATCACCAGCTGGGCCTGAACAGCATGGAGGCGCCGAAGACACTGATGGATCTCTTCAACCGCCAGCTGCCGCAGCCACGCCAGCTGCTTCTCTGCTGGTACGTCGTCGGCGGACGGGCCGTGCAGTGTGGCTGGGGGCATCCACAGCGCGTGAATCGTCATGGTTGGGGCACCACTGCTGCTGCTGCTGCCGGGCGAGATGGCCACTGTCACCGGCACAATCAGCGTGCCCCTGAGGACGCCCGGCCCGCTGTCGTCCTCACACGTGAGAGCGAACACGAAGCTCTGGGCCTCTCGGACGTCCCTACACGGCCACACGCCAATCCAACAGATAGTGTGATGTGTGTTGGGGTGTGTTCGTCTCCATTAGGTATTCGCCGACTAACCCTTCAACGGCAGCATTGATGTGAGGATTGGGCGAGTACGGCAGCAGCCCGGCGAAGGAGGTCAGCATGACGAAGCCCCTGGCCAAGAGGGAGGCCTGGATGTGGCCCACCACTCTCGTGACGAAGGTCTCTCTCTCCGCCCTCAGCACCGACGGCTCGCTGACACCTGTGGGTGGCGCGGCGGGCGGCTGGTGGTGGTAGAGGTAAAGAGGGAAGAAGGCGGGCGGCATCACCACTCGCACAGCGCTGTCGGTGGGGTGAGGCCCGTCGTCATCATCCTTGCGCCTCTCTGACGTGAGGGCGGCGTCGCTGGCCGACCGCTGCAGCAACATGCCCGGCGACACCTAATACAGACAGAACAGAACAAAGGCATGACTGACAGGCTAGAATCCAGCTTCACGGGCTGGACTGATGGTACCAGTGAGGCCAGCGATGTCACTGACGGCGACTTGATGGCTTCCAAAGGCTCTGCAGATGAAGGGATGTCCCCCGCATGGTAGTACAGCGGGTGCAGCACCGGCGAGCCCACCACCCATCCCCTGTTGACCAACCAGCATGCCACCAGCATCTCGTGCTGCAAATCGGCCGACGCAGAGGGAAGAAGCCACCCGTTCGTGAGCGTCATCAACGCCGCCTGCCCGACAAGGTAATGGTCGAGCTCACCGTCCGCACCGCCACCCACCCTAAGCACACTGTCGAGCAGCCTGGCCAGGAGGGATGACGATGCACACTGTCGGTGTCTGGCAAGTGTGGCTGCGAGGAGGCTCCTAAGGGCGGTCTGCCGGGCGCGGTGCCGGCACATGGCCTCGAGTGATGCCAGCCCACGTGGTGTGGGAGCAGCAGACTCCCGTGGGTCTGCGAAAGGGCCGACGGCGACAGCAGCAGTGTCGTCTTGGCCGTAGAGGGGCGTGAGATCCACCCAGTGCTCCAGCCGGCCCTCAACGCCCAGCTCCCACACTTCCTCAGTGGTCTCTGCCTCCTCCCCCACCACTGCAGTCTCGGTCTCAATATCACCGTCATCCAGCTCGATGACCATATCCTCAAAGGTCACCATGGGCCTCCCCTCCTTGCCCATGTCGCCCTCACTCGCGACAGACACCGTGTCACTCTCCACAGGTCTCTCAGGGGTCAGCCGCTCCTTCCTGCCCCCTCCGCCCCCAAATGCGAAGTGCCCGCGGCCTCGCCGCCTCATCCCAGGGAACACCGACGCCCGGACAGGAGATGGCGTGTAGAAACCTTTGCTGAGAGGCAACGCTGCAGGGGCCATCTCGATCTGCTCCGGCAACTTGGGGGCGAGTGTGGCTTGCTCATAGGTCGGCTGGTCAGCAGGGGGGGCTGTTGGTGGTCTGGGAGGGGGTGTGGGCGAGTCGATCAGCGCTCTGGCGACGGGGAAGGGCAGCTGGAATAGAGTGAATTTGGGGTGTCGGAGGGTGTCTGCGAGTCCGGAGCATCTGTCGAGCAGCCGATGGTGGAAGAGCAGACGCCTTTCATCCCCCCCCACCGAGTGCATGCGGTCATCTGTCGCCGCTTCTGCGCCGTCCTCGTGCTGAGCACCCTTGACCCAGGGGAAGAGCTCCGTCACACACGCACTCAGCCCCTTCATCGGCTCCTGGTGCGGCATCATCGGCACTGCACACATGGTCAGCTGGTCAAAGAAGACCGACCGCAGCAACATCCAGCTGATGGACTCCTTCAGCCGATTCCCCGTCCCTTCCGCCCACTGCAGGGGCATGTTGAAGGCGTGCACAGACACGTAGTCGGCACCCAACGTGGCGAAAACTACCGGAGGCCGCTCAGAGCTGTCTGCAGGGACGATGAGAAGCGTCCACAGTGAATCCCGGTGGCTGGTAGCAAGGCTGTCCATGAGTTGCCGCACTGGTTCAGCATCAGGGGGCGGGATGGCCAACACACCGCCTTGCCGGTGGTCGTTAGCTGCTGGCTGCGTGAAGCAGTGAGAGAACGCCGCTGAGACGGGGACCACAGCAGCCGTGCACAGCGGCTGCATGGCCATGTTGGGGGGTTCACCACCTGGATCTTTCTTCTCCTCGCACTGCTGCGGAGTGGCATCTTCGCTTCTGCTGCGGTCTCGAGTGTCTGGCCGGTCTCCCCCTCCCTGATGGGGCGTGTCCACAGTGCTGCTGCGGACCAGCGGGCCCCGCTGCACACCCTCACTCTCAGAGGCCTCCTCCACCACCCGCTGGCAGCACGTCAGGTAGCCCGTCATGGTGAGCTGGTCGTTGATGCTCGCCAGTTCCGTCACGATGTGGGGCGTTGCCCACATGGGAAGCTGCCGTGGCACCTTGAGCGTCGTGTGTGCGTAGTGGACACCCGGTGGGAGGGAGTGGAAGGTCTGCCATGCCCACCCTGTGGTCAGCATATCGCCTGTCGAGGCGGGAGTGATGCCGTGGGCGGCCTCGATGTGGTTGGAGATGAAGCGCTCGATTTGTGAGAGTGTGGCGGGCGGCATGGGGCATCCTTGTCGGCTGGCGGCGAGCACCAGGGCCGACGGCCACATCTGCAGACAGACATGCACAATCACAGATGTGGCGGTGCGTTGGTTGTCTGTCACCGTACCTCTGCGAGCGCTTCGTGGTATGCCCTGTATGCCAGTGCCTCCAGCGTGGCCAGTAGCTCGTAGCTCTGGACCTGCTTGCCCCAAACCTCAATCGACAGGCGGCCGCGACGAACCATGCCATCGGATGTCGGCTCCACCTCCACCACTGCTTCATCGCCCTCCCTGTGGACACGCAGCCCCTCTTGCAGCCGTGACAATGCTTCCATCCTGTCTAGTGTTCTTCGCGATGGCGGCGCTGCTGTCCCCTGCCTCTGGCCTTCCTGTTGGCTGAATTTGACTTGGATGATGGCGATGCCCTCGCCGCACCGGTCCACCACCGTCCGCAGCTGGTCGGCACCCAGAGCGGCGAGGGAAGGGGCGGACGCTGCGGCGTCGCGCAAGTGCTGTCCTCTGTACAGCAGCACCATGCACGGCCCCTCATCTGATTGGCCGTCGGTGTCTGTCGCTGTGTCCCACTCGCAGCTCGGGTCACGGCTGGCTGGGGCTGGCGTGGCGGTGTGTGTGTCTGCTGATGGCGGGGTACGCTCTCGCGATGGAGGAACGTCTGCGGGCGGTGGCTGCGGCTGTGGGGGCTGGGGGCCCTGCTGCTTGGTGTTGAGGATCACATACAGGCTGCTCACACACCTTTGGAAGTGGTCAAAGAACCGGACAGGTGTCAGGCTCAGTGGCGCACCACCACACTGACAGGAGTTCTGCAGCAGTAGGGGGCAGAGGTGGGCCGTCGGAAGGGCGAGGGCGAGCTGTGCAACCGGGGCAGGGTCGTGGGCCTTGATGAAGTCGATCGCCAGGCTGATGGGAATCGACGAGGGGCCGCCATCCTCTGACTCACCGACAGACGACCCGGGGGTCTTACCATACCTTCATCGCATCACGCATGACCACACCACCACACGAGTGCACTGCACGTGTCGTCTGTGTCCCATTCACCCAACATACAAGCCTCACTGACTGACCTGGTGATGGTGTGCAGTGCGAGGTTCTCGACGTCCCGCTGCAGCTGCCGCTCCACCTCACCGACGTCCTCGGCATCGATCGGCGCCAGGCCGTGGATGTCCAAAGACAGGTGCACCACCACCTCCTCACCACCCCTCCCACTGCCGACATCGATGCTGACCGGCTTGACCTGTGACTTGGTGTATCGCGGCCTCAGGAAGAAAAAGTGCTTCTGTCGCGAGTGTAAGGCCAGATAACTGGGCGAGTAGAAGGCCAGCGAGCTGAGAGCGGACTTGGGCATCTCCGTCGGCGACTGCTGCTGCTGTTGATGTCGGACCACACTAGCGGCCATCTGCTGCTGCTTGCGCATGGCCGATGTGTGTCGCAGCGCCAGGGCCTGCGCCGCCTGGCTGCCGGCTGCGGACTCGCCAGTTATCCACTGAATCATCTTGACGTCATAGAGAACACGGGGTATCCTCACAGAGACCGACGAGACCAGCGGGATGGCCAGGGGGTGTGGCGCCGAGGGCGGCAGCATCGGCGGAAGGAGTCTTATGGCCTCCGTCTGCATCTGCATTGCTCGCATGAGGAACTCGGATGGCGTCATGGTGCGGTGAGGGGTGTCGCCCTCGGTGAGCTCCTCGAGAGGCCTGTAGATGTGTGGCGAGAGGTGGCCGGTCTCCTTGGCCTTGCGCATGAGGGCACTCTTGAGCACCGCCCGCCACATGCACTGCAGGTAGCCACAGCAGTCCTCCAGCAGCCGTACGACCGACCTTTCGAAATCGCCTCTGCTGCTCAACGCAGCGGCAGTGGCGGGAAAGTAGACCTCAATGCCGATGTGCATCAAGCGGCCTCCCTCGCCCTCGGCCCTCGATGGATGCTGCTGCAGCCGCCGGTTGGTCAGGGCTTTGACAGACGCCGCCTCGTGGACCGTCGCATCCTCGACTGGTGGCTCCTCGGTCTCGGCCCCTCCCCCCTCATGTGTGGCTGTGTGCTGTCGCGACCTTGACCTTGACCTGCTCTGCATCTGGGCCCTCCGTGACGTCACTGGCGGCGCGAAGGCGTTATCACTGTCTGCTGCCTCTCTATCCCTCCCACCGCCTCTCACGACGTGTCGCATCATCGGCCTGGCCGTCATGACCTTGCTCTTGCTGCTGGAAGCCAGGGATGGCGCACGTGGCATCGCTTTGGACATGCCGCGGGCCTTGTGGCTGCTTGTGCCATCGTCGAGCAGCTGCCACCGCTGCGGCAGCTGGAATACCACCCACTCCGTGACGTACTCGGCTCCTTGTGTGTCTGCGGGGAGCGGGGCGTGTGTGTCTGCGATGGGCTCCTCTTGTGCAGGGCTCTGTGTTGAGTCCTTGATGCTGGGAGGGGTTAGGCCTTCCAGCAGGACGCCGTCGAGCATGTGCGTGAGCCAGTCTGCCTCACGCCGGACGGAAGGGGGCTGGGGGAGCCACACCAGCATCTCGCCGCCGATTCCCTGCACTGGGAGGCGCCCGATGGCCATCCGGGGACGGACATTTCCGTGAGGCAGCACCACACAGCTGCACACACAGACACACGAGATGCGATGCGCTTTGCGATCGCGTGTCTCTCCCGCTGTCACGTCACTGGCTCACTTGGTGTGTCTCATGAGGTGGATAAGGGTCTCACATCCGTAGTCGATAAGTGGCAACGCCATCACACCCCCGAGACCGACGACGTTCTCAAAACCCTCCTGGCCCACCAGGTCCCGCAATATCGGCAGCGGGTGCTGATACGACACCCACACACCGCTGTGCTTCTTCCGCTGGCCGTGGCTGTCCACCAGAGACGACAGTGAGATGCCGTACTGCCGCAGCAATGACAGAGGTCGTGGTGCAGGGGGCTCTATCGGTAACGGTGGCCTGTCCGTTTGCCGTCCATGGTTTTGGTCTTTCTCCCTGTCAGCCACCGGCGTGGCCACAGGGGTGTCGACGGGTGCACCGGGTGAATGGGCATGGGAACTCTCCTCATCAAAGCCTTTCGTCGCGGTGACGTCCTCAATCGCCGGAATGTGCCTCCGCTGGGCCATGGTTGACGAGAGAAGTCTCCACAGCAGCAGGGCGAAAGTCGATGAAGGGGGCCGTAGTAGCAGTGTTGATGGAGGGACGGGCGGCCGGATCTGAACTGCCTGGGCTGTCGGGGTGGGCTGCTGGGTGGCCGTGACCACCATCGGCAGGGTGTACCTGAGGAGGTCCAGCTGGGCCTCCTTCAGGACCACAGACATCTCGTCGGTAATCGACCGCAGCATGGAAGACACGCCACCCTGATACACACACACACCGCCATCCCACCTCCATCCACCATGTCCTCTCTCTCCCACCTGACCTGAGAGGGCGACGGTGTGTCCTGAGAGCTCTGCTTCCTGTGAGGGGTCGAGTGGTGTGGGTGGAAAGGGTGGGAATGGAGGTAGTACATCGTCACTCGCACGCTGCATGACGCGCATCTCTCGTCGCGCAGAATGCTCTCGAAGAGCACCATCTCGGCGACGTCAGTGGACAGCCCCCTGTCGAAGGTGAGCGGCTGCACCGGCGACGAGGAAGCGGCCCCGGCCCCGGCCGGACTCTGCTGTGCATGCGGGGAAGGGGTGGGGGTGCGCACGACGTCCAGCCGCAAGAAGACCACCGGCTGCTTCAGCAGTGCACGCGCATCCTCCTTGTCGAAGCGCTCGTACACTTGGGTGGTGCCCACCCCTCGCTGTGCTCGCGTCTCGTGGCGAGGGTCGAAGGCCAAGTAGATCTCCGAGAGCGACGCCCCAGCCTCCACTCTGTCGAGACACGCAAAAGACCGCTGCCGCTTCTCCACCCACCGGCGGCGGGAGTGCTCGCGGCTGACGCCCATTCCCACCGCCATTGCTGGTGTGGTCATGGAACCGTCCTTCGCTGGCTCTCTGGCTGTGACAGCGTCGTCTCTGACGGAGGCGGTGGTCAGAGGCGGGCTGGCAGCTGAGGGGCGAGGGCGCCAGCTGGCCTTTGACACGGGGAAGGGGTGGAAGCCATGGTCGGCCAGGACGGTGAGCAGCCGCTGATCGGCACACTGCAGGATCCTCCTGATGCCACCACCCACGGCTTCGTTGCACCCCAAGCTGATGTCGGCCATGGTGCTCGCAATGGAGTGGAGAGGGACGGCAGCCTTGCTCATGTGGCACAGCCGCAAGGCAGCATCGCGCTCCGCCGCGGTTACCGGGAGGCTCAGCAGGGAGTGGCAGTAGACGGACTTGGCGTAGAAGTAGTCATACACCTTCATCAGACTGTCCAGGACGTGGTCGATCGGGCCTCTGAATCGCTCACTCGTGTCGTCCACTCCTTTCGACGCGGCTGTGGTGTCACCTCGTCCGCGGCGGAAGTAGCTGCCGAATCCGCTGTCCGTGGCCTTGTCGCGATGCAGGGTGATGTGTCTGGTGTCGCAGATGTGGATCTGGACGGTCATCGCCGCTCCCGTAGCAGCGTCGCCCTCACTGGTGACGAAATGGTGGTGGTGAGGGGTGCCGGAGGGGTGAGACTCGGTGCTTGCAGACGAGCCGGAGCTGCTCGGCGACAGCTCCCCCTCCTTGCTCTGCTCCCTGTCACCCTCTGCCGTGCCCCATGGCATCAGCAGTGTGCTGCTGTGGTGCGGCCCCCCATTCTTGGCCACTGGCTGGCTGCAGAGCACCTCGAGAAGGTCTCGCATCGACTTGCGCCGCGACCGGATGTACACCACCACCGCGTGCCGGCGGTGGTGGTGGTCATGGTCTCTCTCCTGCTTCTTGCCCCCTCCCTCCAGCAGCTTGATGAAGTAGCGACCGGGGTGGCACGGCTGCGTGTGATGATGGCCATGGCCATGGTCGCCACCAGCACCAGCACCAGAAGCAGGCTTGATGGTGTCGGTGGACGAGAGCGGTGTGGGTGTGGACTCCACAGGCGAGTCACCGTCCTTGGCCGAGGCGGGAGGGGCGAGCGATGCCGGAGTGGAGGCACCCAGACTCTCCACTTCCGACTCCTTGCCCTCCCTCCGAGGGATATGCACCGTCAGCGATGGGTGGGCATCGCTCCTCGCACCGAGCGATCCCTTCTCCTTCTTGGTCTTCCGTTTCTGTCGCTGCCGTTGTGCCTCGCGCACCTGCTGGTCTGGGTCGATACGGAGCGACCACGTGCCGAGCATCTCCATCTCGAGCAGGAACTCGTCGAGCAACTCCTCCAGCAGGAACAAGGCGCAACCGCGAAGATAGTGGAAGCCCACCCAGCACATCATCCGGCCGATGCTGCTGCTACCGCTGCTGCTGTCACCCTCGTGTGTGTCGTCGTCTTGCACTCCTACCCACTCGCCGTCATCAGAGGTGCGGGGCCGGACATGTTGCTCACCGGGCTTGGCCGTTTGCCCCTGCTGCTGCTGCTGTGGTGCCCCTCTCCTGATTGGCTGGCTCTTCCTTCGTTTGGGTGAGTTGTCCCCGGTTCGCGAGGTGAGCAGCTGGACGACCTGGGAGAGGAGGAATGAGGGCAGCTGGTACACCTTGCTGCCACCGATGCGGGCATGGAGCAGGGAAGCCAAATCTGACACAGACATAACGCACACCACACACACAGACACACGAACATACGAGTGCTAGTGCGTCCATCCCGTGCTTTCGTGTGCCCACCGTCTTCATCGGGGCTGAGAGAGAGGAGGTAGCCGCTGAGCTCGCACCAGCGGCTGCCCAGCTGCTGCTCATGCCGGTACGTGACCATCTCAGTCTCACCACGCTCACCCGTCCTCTCCCCCACCGCCTCCTGCTGCTGCTGCACCCTCAGCGCCATCATGCTGGTCTCCCTCCTCATCACGGCCGCCGCCTCGCCCACCTCCATCAGTTGAGGCAGTGATGTCACCTGAGTCAGCGGCCGGGCTGCCACTGCTGCTGCAGGCGACTGAAGGCCTTTGGGTGTGCAGAAGCTTCCCACAGACGTGATGCTGGCGGTGCTGTTGACGCGAGAGAGCGGCGATGTGGGGCTCATCGGATGCGCATGGGGGCCGGTCCTGATTGGGATGATGGGGGGCAGGGGAGGCCGCCGGTCGGCGCGGTGGACCATCTTCGGCTGCTCTTCCGCAGCTTGCGTGAGGTGTGTGGCCGTGTGCGCGCCCACGTACGTCCACTCGGTCACCTCCATGATGGCGTTGTGTCCGACGTCAGCCGGCCGGGGAGAGCTGGCGGGGGATATGCTGCGGGCAATGGAAGCCGGTGGCATGGCCTCGATGGAGGGATCCGAGCACGCACCACTGGCCGGCGGCTCCGTCGGTGCACGGGGCAGGCTCTGACACACCGGGGGGCAGCTCTCGCCTCCCTCCCGCTTGATGCCGGCACACAGCTCCGTGACGGCTACTGTGGAGACGCACCGCAGCAGCAGCGCATCCATCGACCGCACCATCTGACCGATAGCCTCGAAGAACACCAGCGGCGCCGCGCAGATGCCGCCCCTGTCATCCCGGACACCTCCCGCATGAGGCTCCACAAACAGGGAGGTCAGCAGGTGCAGCTGACCACCCTCCCTCGCCGTGCTAGCTGCAGCTGCAGCATCGTGCTGCACGTACTGGTGGTGGTGGTACATGTGAGGTGACACGGGGACCGGCGAGGACTGCCGGTGGCCACCGGCGGGGTCGGTCGTGGGGCTGGTGCTGTCTGCCGGGGGGATGTTGATGAGCACCTGGAAGAAGACGCTCGTCGTTCCACAGATGCCCGCCTCATCTGGCTGTGTGCCCTCGATCGTCAGTGTTGGCGGCCGTGGGGCGACCGGCCCGTCGTCGATGCTCACAGTGACCTCATCGAAGCCTGTCGTGTCCACAGTCAATGGCGAGTCCTCCGCTGCCTCAGTGGTGAGAGTTGACGCATCGGTCTGTCTGGGTATTCTCATGGCCCGCTGTCTGGTTTGTGCGGTGGGGAACCGCTTCGTCCACATGAGGAGGATGGAGTGGCCGCCCGGCTGGTGCGAGGCGGCAACGAGCAGCCACCCCTCGCTCGACCGCTGTCCAATGATGTTGTGGCAGACGTCTGACAGCACGTCGCTGAGGCGGCCTGGGCCGTAGGGCACCGTCCAGCTCCAAGATGACCGCAAGTAGTAGTGCTGAAGGTCACGCACAGGTGGATGAGAGTGGGTCTGTCAAGTCACTCTTCCGTGTGTGTTGTCTCCTCACCGCGAGCATGGCGTCTGACGGCTGGTACGTGTGGAAGCTCCTATGCCTCGACACAACCCTCTCTCTCTCTCTGCGCCCCTCTCCAGACGCTGATGACATCTCACTCCCACTGTCGGCCGGCGACACTACTCCCACCGCCGACAAGTGCCGGGCACGGTCCTTCCCAAAGGCCCGCGCCATTTGGTTCTTCTTCCTCTCTGTCTCGACCGCCTGGGCGTCCAGACCTAGAGCAATGGGAAGCAGGAGCCGCCCAAATCGCGAAAGGTCCTCGGCCGTGAGCTGGGCGGACACAGCCCGATGCAGCAGCGACGCTCCAGGCTGGTGTCGCCGGTGGTGGTGGGAGTGAGACGATGTGGGTGGCCCTCGTGTTGGAGGGAAAGGGAAGCCGTGAATGCGCGGGACATATGGCAAGCGGGGCGGGTAGTGGTGATCGAGAGGGAAGAGCTGCCCGACAGAGGGGCCGACAACCAGCCCAACACCATTCACACAATCCATGGATAGGGCTGTCGATGGCGATCCCGGTATCACTGGCTGCGCATTCAGCCGCCGCTGCAGCTCTCGGATGGCGGATGATGCCGTCACCGGTGACGCGCCGAGGAAGCCCACCATGACCCACAGCGAGGCCATGCTGTCGTCCTCTACCTCCACCATGCAGATGGACTGCGCCATTGCCGGCCCATAGCCGTGTGTATGCGGCTCTTGGAAGAACGTCGCGTTGGGGCAGGCGAGAAGGAAATCCACAAAGTGGTCGGAGAGAAGACTCTCACTGGCAGTGGACGGCAGCAGCCTGGCGTATCGAAAGTCCTTCTGCAGCTGGATCGGCGCCCACTCTTGCACCACCTTCACAACACCTTCCCGCGTCATCAAGGTCGGCGTGGGCAGGGGGAGGGGCAGGGGGATGGGCTGCGAGCAGCTGGCCTTGGTCTGCTGCATGTGGCTGTGGCTGTGGTTGTTGCAGAGCAGTGTGAATGACCTGATGTGGAAATGGTGGTGCCAGTGAGCAGCAGGGAGGGCAAGCAGGTCCGCCAGCTCCCCTGGCAGTTCTCTCCCTCTCTGTAGTGCCAGCTGGATTCTGGTCAGCTGGTCGTCGACGAAGTAGATGCCTTGGAGCACATTCTCGATCTGCAAAGTGAACTGGTCTTGTTGCTTGTACGACGAGTAGTGAGGAGGATTCAGCCCACCACCCGACACCCTGTCGCGGCCTGACAAATGCAATGGAAGCGACATACACGCACGCCATCTATGCATCCTGCATCGTTTCTCGTGGATGCGATGCTTTCTGCGCTCACCGTGTCCCCACCCCCCAAAGGCAAAGTACCCCCTGCTGCCGCCCGCCCCACTCTGCGAGAGGAGGTGCCTCTGCTTCATCTGCTTGACGTACTCCTTGGACGGCATCTTGAGGGCCAGCGTCACCTGCAGCTCGCCCCCCTCGCTCCCACCGCCGGTCAGCCGCACCACCACAGTGTAGTAGATGTAGAACATGGGCCGCCAGGCCAGACAGAACTTGATGTGCAGCCACGACTGGTATCCGACGGAGAGGAGGGAGTCAGAGTGGCTGGAGGTCTCGCGGATCGGGTGGAGGGAGGTGGAGTGCGGGGTGGTGTGGAGGGCGGCGACGCCGCCCCGCCCGTCGTTGGTGCGGACCTGGGCACTCTCGAGATGGAAGCCCTCACGCACGCGGCAGCTGATGATGTGCACCAGTGAGACGCCGGTCAGCTTGTACTCGCTGTAGACGTACTTCTCCTCCTCGTCAGCCGTGGCGGGGCCGTCGTCCTCCATCCTGGCACCGTCCTTCAGCCGACTCCACTCGCCACGCACCGACATGGCCGCACGCCGCCTCTGATGCTGATGTCCGTGGGGCGCCCTCATCCAAGAGATGGCAGCCAATCTCGCATCGCGCTCGTCAGCTGTCTCCACCCCGGCTGCTGTTGGCGTACCAGTGATCAGCGGGAAGGTGTCAACCGCAACACTGGACATGCTGACGGGCCGTCGGGTGAAGTCGGGCCCCTCGCCAAAGGGAAGTGACTCGATGTATGTCGAATGCCTGGACAAAGGGCGAAGGGGGAGGCCCCGGATGGGCTGAAAGGCCTCAACCTTACAGCCAAGCCGCTTCAGATGATGCCGGTAGCCAAAGCGTCCTTGGGCCTTGGGCGATGGGCGGAGCGCCGGGGATGGCGGTGGCTTGCCGGGCTTCAAGGGATCGCTGGGAAGACTCACAAGGGCGGGCAGTGGGGGAGACTGTTCATCGTCCATCTGTGGCGCGGTGAGAGCCGAGTAGCGCCAGAAGACGGCTCGTTGCAGCAGATTCACACTGACGCCCTGCATGGGGCCGCCGTCGAAGGTGGTTGAGGGCGAGAGGTGGGTCGGGGCGGTGGCGAAGGGGTGCGCGAGCACGACTGATGCGCTGTGCAGGAGCGGGGTGGCGTCGAGTGCTGGCGATGACTGTGGCCGGCGGATGACGGAGGGCTGCATCGGTGACTTCTCCGCCTCTTCTACCATCTGGGCTATATCAGAGTCCTGACACACAGACAGTAGGAGAGAAGAGACTCGTCTTAAGACACATCAACAGATGCAATCAACTCACTTGTATGAGCTGGCCCTGTCCGGCAGCATTGGCGATGAACTGGAGTGCGTCCCGGTCGCTGACGTTGCCCATCGGACTGTATGGCGAGAAGCCGCCGCCAACCTGCAAAACACAGAGGAAGGAAAGACGAGCAGTGGGATGAGCGATGGACCGGTGTGTTGTGATTTGGTGTGTTTGTGATGACTGACTGACCTGTACGATGTTGAGTTGTATGTCAGCGTTGTTGCAGTGCATCAGTATGTTGTCGTAGTGCATCTGCCGCGGGATGCTCACCACACCGTCCGTCAGCAGCACCACGCCACGCGCACACGAGCCGCCGCCCTCCTCCACCAGCAGGCTCAGCGCCTTCAGTCACACCACACCACACCACACCACACCACACACGCACAAACAGACAGACAGACAGACAGACAGACAGGCTGACAACCGATTGGTCGACACAGTAGCTAGGGCTGGCTGGCTGCTTACGTGGAATGCGTTTTTGATGAAGGTGTCGAGTGCGGTGGCGTGACACAGCTCCGAACGACACGGGTGGAAGTCGCGGCTGCATCCGTCCGCCACGCCAGCCTGAATGGATCAATGAGTGCATAGACACACACGCGCACAGAGGTGTACACAGCGATCGATTCGATAGAGTAGGCCTGCCTGCCACTCACTCGTTCTCACCTGTTCTTCATTTCTGTACTGCTGTGCCCATCTGCAGGTCTCGGCGATCACGTGGTCCAGCTGGTCATGCAGCGCGTGAAGCCAGCTCACGTCGCAAGAAGAAGAGTCCTCACACCCACCACCATCACCGTAGCCGTCCTCATCACACTGCCACTTGGGCGGTGGCTTGCCGTATACCCGTTCATAGGTCAGTCTCAGGCCGTGCACCAGCGTGACGACCGGAAAGGTCGGCACCCCCTGCGCCAATATCGACACCGTCACGTTGGGGACGAAGGCGATTGTGCGTTTGGCCGCATCGCTGTAGACGTACATGGGCTGCACCAGCGCCTTGAGCGTGTTGAGAAGGCACGGGCCCAGCGAGTCGAGCAGGTAGTTACCGCTGTACTTGTTCTCCTTGCTGAAGGACGTGTCGACCACATTGAGGCTGGGCGAGAGGTCGAGCACCAGCACCAGGCTGTACGAGGGGTACAGATACGAAAACCGACACCGCTGCGTCAGAAGGTACTCCTCAATCCCAGTTGAATGGTCTTCATCAGCCACCAGGGGAATCGCGTAGATGGGCCGCAGGTACGACACCTGTCGTGTCCACGGCAGCAGCACCGACCGGCCGCTGTAGTCGACGGTGCATGGCGAGTGCAGCAGAAAGAGGTGATGCAAGCACCGGTCAGCCAAGCTGAAGTCGAAGCAAGAAAGCCGCTCCTCGTCAGACACGAAGAATCCCACCTCCGCCAGCTCATCCGTGTCATCACTCGGCAGCGGAGCATGGGTGCCGCTGTCCGTCACATGCGACTCAGTCCGCGGCCGGAGCTCCGCCGTCTCGTCAGCCATGCCGACCGCCATGAACACCGGCGATGGATCCTCCCTGATGCTCTCCATCTCCTCACATAATAGATAAGATAGATCAGCGCCTCCTTGACAGATCTCGACGTCAGTCACGTGACTGCGCCTCGCGCGGCTGATCTCGTCACCTTCAGATTCATCAGCAAAGTGTGTGTGTATTCATCAGCAAACAATCTTTACCACCTTTTGTGTCAGAGATACTCTCAAGCTTCCAGCAGGGCTTTCCCTGAGCTAAGCTCGCAATCTGCCGATCGGCGATGCTTTGAGATCCTCCGAGATGAGCCGACACGCGCCGTATGACGCGCAGCGGAGGCAAGATCTTGGGTTGCGCAGCTCGATTGGAGATTTCGTTTGCACCTGGACTCATCGCGCGGTTGTGCTACACACCAACGATGGCCGCAGCGATGAATGCAGGCGTCTTGCCCTCGCCTGGGCCGCTGTACTTGACCAAGTCGAGGACCTTCACATCGGATTCTAAGGTACGGATGAAGGAATGATGGATGCTCCTTGATGCGTGTGTGGTTGGTTTGTGGTTATTGAATCCATCAATCAGGTGGGTCTGGACCAAGGAGGTGACGGAGGGGAGACTGCTGCAATGCGTCGGCCAACCATCAGAAGCCGCGACGTCCACAGCGCCCTCTTGGAGCGCCTTGCAGCCACGGACAGCAGCGCACCGCCCGTTCTGCTCGACCGCCGTCTTGTTTGTGCAGCCATCGATGGCCATGCCCCTCAGTCACGGCACTCGACTGGTGCCGCCACCACTCTCTCGTCCATCGGTGCAATGCTCATCAAGCTCGTCTCTGCAGTGGACACCTTCACTAAGAGCTCTGATCATGGCAAAAAGGAGACAGCGGCCAAGCTGACCAATCAGTGTTGGGAGCTCAGGAAGGTGCTCCACGGAAGGGCGGCAATGGGCGTGGGGCCGCTATTACTGATGCAGCCCGCAGCGACCGATCAGGTGCCTCCTCCTCATACCAGTGATGATGGCAGTTCGACACAGGGGCAGCGGCAGATGAAGGCGCTGCTGGGAGCCGCGTATTGGTCAAACGTATGGGACATTAAAGGTGGTGGTTTAGTTGGGGCAAGAGAGTCCCCTCGACAGCTCGACCTCCATCGTGGCCTCTCGGCTGCTATCGTGCTCATCGACCGAATACTGAGGAGGGACAGTGACATTGGTGGGCGGTGTGGCTGGCTGCCTACGGGAGAACGGCTTAGGGATGGAGCTGCCACACTCACGGCGACCACCGATGATCCTGTTGAGCTGATGTGGGGTCACGTCTTTGCGGACAAGTCATGGCTGGAGACAGCCCGAAGGAGACCACACCCTAAGCGAACCCTCCACCAGCCCGACAACGATGCAGTGGAGTTTCTCGGTGACAGCGTACTGGACCTGCTGTCCATCCACTTAGCCACACAATCAGGCGTCACACGCAGTAGCAGCCTGTCGGCCGTCGACATGTCCCGCTGCAACGACGCTGTCAGCAACGAGGCTCTGGCATTGCACATGTGGCGGAGACTGACAAAGCACGGCCTCGCCGTGGAGCAGGTGCTGCGGATGGCCGAGCCCCCCGAGTGTGTGTTTCAGTACCCCCCTCATGGCGGCTTGCCCAAGGGCCTGTCACGTGAGCGCGTCAAGCAGCTGGCGGACTTGTATGAGGTGTTTGTGGGGGCGACCTTCCTCGATGCCGGCATGTCGCTGCAGGTCAGTCAGGTCGGCGGTGTGTATGTGTTTGTATGTGTGTGTTGGGTCATGTCATTAATGTCATGTCATGCAGCGTGTGTGGGAGGTGGTCGGTGCAGATTTCGTCAGTGACGAAGCTTCTCGTCTGCCACACGCACAGGCGCATCGCCGTGTTGCTGACCCCCATGGCATGCTGCCGAGATTCATGAGACAGACGGCAGTGATGTGATGGCCAAACGAGCAGCCAGCCGTGCGCCGTAGTGAAGCCTGAGCTGTCTGTCGTTTAGCCTCTGCTTGCTTCTTCATCGATTGCTCTACTATCGATGGGCTGCAAGCATTACGGTTTGTCGTTTGTTCGCGCTGTGTGTTTATGGTGTGGATGCGAAAGCCGTGGTATGGATGGCATCGCTGTCAGTTGAGAGACACACACGCGCACTCCATCAACGACACCTGCATGGCCATGCAGACCGAGAGAGCTACAAATACACACATGATGGCATCCAGCCATCCGCCGTCCGCCGTCGTTTCTTTCGCCCTCTTTCGCTGTAGCACGCTAACACGTGTCCATCCAGTCCATGGTCGTCGTTGATTCACTTGCGCGAGGGCTTGACGGCCATGTCGTACTTGACCAGATTCATTCTGCAGACCACACACACACACACACACACACACACACGAGAGAGAGAGACGAGAGAGAGAGAGAAGGGCCAGGCCCCCGTCAATCGATCCACCCATGGCTCCTACACGCATGGCACCGACAGAAAGTGAGTCCTTGCCTGAGCAGCAGCTGCTGAGTGGACTCGAAGAACTCCTGCCCCAGCCGCATGGCGTCTTTGTAAGTCGACCGGCGCAGGTCCGTGTCACGCTGCAGCAACACCTGCACACAGACAGACAGACAGACAGAGGGAGAGAGAGGGCGGTGAGGTGTGGAATGGGATCTGTCCGTGTGGGTGGGTGGGTGGGTGGGTGGAGAGAGGGAGGGATACCTTCTTGTGTGAGTCGATTTTGGCTGAGATCTTCTTCTCTGCGATCAGGTTGGCCGCCTCTGTCTCGATGCCTACAAACCACACGCACGGGCGCATAGAAAGGAGCCATGCATGACGATACCCACGTCTCTCTGCCAATGGCCTGCCTGACCTTCTACATCAGTGTTGAGTTCGGCCGCGAGGTTAGCCAGCGACACCGACAGAAATGGCGAGAAATACTGACAGATGGACACACACGGTGAATCCACCCACAGGTTCCTCCTTGCTACCTCTCCTTGGTACCTGCACGATGGCTTTGTCTCGGATGTTGCGAATGAGCTCCGTCCAGTGAGCAGACAAATAGACATCCAAATCGGCACTCGGCTGCATCAACACACAACACACAACACACCACACCACACGGACTCATGTGTTGCTTGCTACATGCCGCCCACCCACCAGCACCGACGGACCTTGATCTTGTAGAGCGCTTCGAGGCATCTCTTGTAGTGACACTGACAGAAATCCAACGTCAGATCTCTGAACGAATGACGCGCACACACGCACACACACACACCATGAGGCGCCCAGCCAGTGTGTGTTGGTGTGAGGCGCGTGGTGGTATCGACTCACCGGATGATGGGGACGAAGTCGAGCGTCTCGCGGAACACAGACTTCTCCCCGATCTGCACACACACACAGATCACCCACATACGCGGGATCGCCTCGTATGCATCTTGCGATCGACGAGCGGACCTTCTCGTTGAGCTCCGTCCGTGTGTAGGAGGCCAGGGCGCACAGCGAGCCATACAGGGCGACGTCTTGCACAGTCAACACCTGCACACACAGATACCATTGCAGACCCAACGAACAGATGGATGTGTGCAGGTCTCCCTTTCACTCGGCAGGGTGGTGCAGTGGCTGTGGTGTGGGGTGCTCACGTTTTTGAACGATTCGCCGAGCTCGTTGGGCTTGAGTCCGAGGAACGACTCAGCTGCAAACAGGCACAAACACACACCATTGCCCGGTTATGAGGTGGCTGCTCTTGTGTGCGTGCCACGCACGCACCAGCAGACGTACCAGCGTCTTTGTATTTGCGCAGCTTGAGGTAGTAGAGTCCGTGTGCAGCCGTCACGCGCGCATTGTCCTTCGGAGTCTTGTACGGCGTGTGCTGAGCCTGTCAATGGATTGGCCACACACAACATGTGCACACCGTCTTACCCTGCGTGTGTGTGTACCTTGGCTGCGTAGGATATGATGTCTGTGTATCTGCTCAGCATCACCACCGTCTCGATGGACGCAAAACACATCTGCATGACACGACACACAACGATCGTTGTCCATCTCACTGCGGCGGATGTGGTATCTACCTCTAGCACGTTGGGCGCCTCGACAGTGTACTCGCGACTCTTGGAGTAATGCTTCAGCGCCTCCTAAACACACACAAACCACACACACATTACATGGCGACACTCCCTCTCCTCCTCCCCTCCCCCCCTCTCCCCACCCACCGACCCACCTCATAGTTGCCACGGCGGAAGTAGAAGGTCGCCGAGGCCATCAACGCCAGCTGACCACACACACACGCGCGTGCAGACGACGTGGGAGTCATTCATCGCGTGTGTGGTCGTGTGACGAGCATGTTGCATCCACATGTCATGTGAGTGAGACTGGGCGTATGGACATCTCCCTCTCTCTGTCTGTGAGTGCAAGTGTGGTCTTCGCCCTCTTGTTTGCGTATCGGGCGCCAGACAGCCAGACAGCCGTAAACGAGGGCGATCGGTCAGCCAGACAGTGTGTGTGTGCGTGCGATGGATGAGTGATGTGTGTGATGTGTGATGTGTGATGTGTGATGTGTGATGTGTGATGTGTGTGTGTGTCATGCCCACTACCCACCCGGATGCTGTCCTTGATCTGCGTCACTTTCGCCTGATGAAGGTCCTGCGCACCAAACCACACACCACACCACACAAGGCAGATCACTCCCCCATCCTGCTCACCCACACCCACCAGCCACCGTGGCATCCTCCTGCTCGCCCCACCTGTTCGAAGACCTGCTGCTGCTGTGCATTGTTGCGGGTGGTGGCATTCACCCAGTCGGTTTCCATGTGCGGCAGGCTGCCCAGCATCGGGTCCACGTTCTCGTCGAGCAGCCCCTTGAGTGCGCTGTGCGCCTCCTGGTACATCTTGACGTTGTCGAGGCGCTTGGCGACGGTGAGGAGGTGGTGCAGCGCCTCGCTCTTGATGCGGGGAGAGCCGCGGTGGGCGATGAATTGCAGTCGGTGCAGCTTGCCGTGGTCGCCATAGCTGGCGATGTAGGTCTCCAGATCTGCACGCCCACGCATCCACTTCGACGCTCAGATACACATATATGATGGGTGAGTGTCAGTGTGAGTGTGTGTGCGGATGCCGACCTGTGTGAATCATGACGGACGCACTGACTGATGAGTTGGGATGCGCCGCAGAGGGGATGGGGCGTGCGATAGGACTTCAAAGTTGGCCGATCCGATAGGCCGCCTAGGGTGCTTCCTGAAACCGCTGCTGCCGGAAGAAAGAATGGGGAATGCTCGGTGGCCTCGCCTAGATGCGAATGGTACGGAGGAAAGAGGATTGAGTCGGCAGCGAAATGGTGTTGTGCGTCCTTGTGTGCAGGGCAGATTTGTGAGTATGACCCTCCTCGTGCTGCAGCAAGACAGAGAGCGGATGTCGCTGAGGTAGGGAACACCCACACAGCACGGTGCGGTGCCTGCCTGCATTGTCTCATGTGTTTGTTTCAGGAGCCGGAGGAGGTGAGGGAGTGCTATCGCAAAGAGAGTAAGTAAGAGGCCGTAAGGGAAGCTCTCTCACAGTCACAGACACAGACACAGACACAGACGGACGGACAGACAGACAGACAGACAGACAGACTATGACACAGGCCGCCGTACGTATCCGCCTCTTGTTGTGTGCGGCGTGGCTCACTCAGACCCTTACCCGTTGGGGTCGAGAGCGTGGTCACAGTTCGAGGTCGCGGACATCTCGAGACAGATCGACGCGCAATGCAAAGGGCTCGCTGTATGTGGACGAATATTCTTCTCTCTCCGATCTCGTCCATCACCTCCACTGGGTGGGGTCAATTGTTGTGCTTGTTTCTGGCGATGCTGTAGGCGCACGCCAAGAAGCTCGAGGATGCCAACAAGGCAGCACAAGAAGAGCATGACCGATTTCTCAGGTGCGTCCTGCACGAGGAATCGCATGAGTCGTCTACTTCGGCGGTTTGAGAGAGAGTGTGATGTTGGTGCAGGAGCATTGGCGGGCGTGTGCTGCGTTTCTTCTTCCCGTGGAATCCCGCGTTTCGACTTCCATCCTCTGAAGACCAGGGCCGGTCGGAAGGAGCACAGGAGACGCAGGGTGTGGTCGACGGTAAAGAGGACGGTCTCCGCGTGCCCTTAGTGGGGCAGCGCACACAGGACGGGACCACCCGCTCAGGCTGGCCGGCGGGTTTAGAGAAAGATGGAAAGTGGATTTAGTCGGTGTTTCCTGTCGAGCAATGGGCGACCGGAGCTATCTGCTTGGCCTTCCTGACGATATTTCCCTCCACTTGCTGAGGTATCTCAAAGCCGACAGCTGCGGCGCCCTCCGCGCCACGTCCAGGAGCGTTGGCTTTCATCTCATCAATGAGGACTTCCTCACGGACCGCCTCGACGCCGCCATCCACTCAAATGGACTGAATCCCGTGCTGTCTTATCTCAAGCGACACAAGACGGCCCAGGACTTCCTCAAGGCCGCCTACAGCGCCCTTTCAACTGCCATCGGCCTTCTCGGCGGCCTCGCTGCGATGATCATTGTCTTGTTCAGCTTCCCCATCCTGCTTGCTGTCGTTCTGTTGCCGACGCAGTGGCTGATACGAAAGATTCTTGCCATCTTCTTAGCGGATCATTGGCTCGCCACGTCCGAGTGGTATCTTACGTTGTTTGTCGTGGCTCTTTCTGGGAGCAGAATCCTTAATATGCTCATTAACACGGCGCGCAAGGCGGAGTGGGCACGGCGAGATGTAGACAAGATGACGAAGCTGATGATGTGGTCTTGGGACGTGTTCGTATGGGGTGCTCGCCTCGCGTGGGGTGGCCTGCGGCTGGCAATCGGGATCGACAAGCGGATGAGCCAAATCGAGTACGTTATGCGGCTGCTGTACGTCATCGAGGAGGGAGGCTGCTGGGAGCCCATCGTGCCGCTCATCCACTTCATGAAGAACTGCGGCATGATGCCCTCACTGCCCATTGTCGTCACTGCGGATGACTTGAAGGCGGTAGGCAGCAGGGCCGTCTTTGACGCGCGGCCGGGAGCGGTGCGGCAGTACTCACTCTTCAGCCGTCGATTAGGTTCCACCCTACGGGTCGGCCGTTTTGACAATCAAGACTGCCTGGAGTCGAGCTCACAGCCGGTGACATACCACACGCCCGGTGTGTTGCCTTCTGACGCATTCGACCCACCGACCAAGTGTAAGTCACCACATCAAGGCGATGCTTACCCTGTGCTTCAACTCGTTGCTCTCTGTCCTGCCTGCCTGCCTGCCTGCCTGCCTGCCTGCAGGTGGAAACAGAGCCTTCTCATCGTTCACCGACCTTATAGTCCACTCAGCTTCCCGTGACCGGTACGACGGACGCGTCATCATCCGACGTCTGGGTGGCGGAGTCTTTGCGACCATACATGCCGAGCAGCAGCTGGCGGCTCAGGTGGGCGCCCAGCCAGGCCGCACCTGGCGGGGCTATCGCAAGGCGGCTGACATCGGTGAAGAGAACCCTCAGGGATTAAAGGAGACGGTTGTGATTCTGTCTGGGGACAAGTCCATCGACGAGTTTGCTATCTACATGACGGTATTCGGCAACATCTGCTTCTTTGTCTTCACAACGGAGCCCCCAGCTCGCGGCAGGAGGGGCGCAGCGCTTTACCCACGCACAGTGGCACTCGTGCGTGGTGTGGTCAAGGATGTGCTGAATGCGTAGGCTGCGATTTGGCTGTGGCGGCAGCCTTTTGGGCCGGGCCTTCCGCACTGCGGATGGATGGCGTGCGGGTGGTGTGTCCGTCGTGTCGGTTCGAGTACTGCGAGGGGTGTCTGGTGGGGTGGCTGCGCAAGAAGGACCCCATGAGCTTTGACAAGGGATGCCCGCAATGCAAGAAACCCATTCATTTTTGGGCGGTGCTGTTGTGTTAGTGTGTGTGTTTGTGCGAATTGCGTACTCCAGAATGGGTTGGAGGGACAGTACATTTCAATCTGTCGTGCTTTCCCCTATCCTTCACTTATTGAATGAGGGCAAAATCGCAGCATTCCCTCTTTTGTTGAGCCAGATCTTAGGGTGCTCCATGAAACCGCTGCTGCTGTGACTGACGAGACGAGCTAGCTAGTGGAAAACGGCGTTCCCGTTCCGCAACAATGGCCAAAGACAGGAGCCTCGCAACGATGGTGGTGGTCGCCTCCTGGCTCGTACACTTCAGCACATTCGTAAGCTGGCCGTGGGAGTGAAAACGGGAAGCATCCCTCACTCGTTTGCCTTTTCTACCTGCCTATGGTGCGCAGGGAACACGCAACACCTTCGTGAGGCACAAACACAACACGCTCCAATTCTTGTCGACGCCAGCCAGCCTGGACAGCCCCTTTGTTTGTTGTGTGTTCCCTCCAGGGTGTGTTCTTTCCTCACCTGCTGGCCCATTTCGGCACGAGCAGGGCCCTCACGAGCGTCGTGTTCTCAGCCGGGTCGTGCATGATGCTCTTTGGCTTCATTAATGGCGCATTGGTTCGAAAATACGGCCAAAGAAGGTAGGTAATTAAGGAGAACCCGTCCATTCCGACCAGTGAGGCACAGACGATTTCTGTGTCTGATGTGGTGCGATGGCGCATGCAGGATGGCTCAGGCTGGGGCAGTGATTGTGCTCGTTGGGCTGGTTTCCAGCTCCTTCATGACTGACCTATGGCAGCTCTCTCTGACGTATGGCGTCATTGGTGGCCTCGGCTTTGGCCTGTCATTCATGTCGGCCATCACCATATTGGCCCTCCACTTTGACAAGAACCGAGCCTTTGCCACCGGTGAGTCCAAACCGCGCACGCGAGGAAGCGCACGTACACTTGTCCCTTGTGTGGCTGTCCGCACCCATTTCCAGGTCTGGCGGTGTCAGGGAGTGGCATTGGCACTCTCTCCCTAGCCCCTGTCTTCGATGCCCTCCTCGTGACCCTGGGGTGGCGGAATACATTTAGGGTGCAAGCGGCGCTCTGTTCTGGCATGATTCTCTTCGCCTCTGTCTTCTTCGAGCGGCCGTCGCAAGAGAGCCGAACCAAAGAGCCCTGCCGTCCAGGAGGCGATGATCGACCGGTGTCCTCTCAGTTACAAGGAGGCGACGCACGGCACGAGCAGACGAATGACCACCTGGTGGTGGGTGTGGCCTCTGAGGACGATGGCAGTAAAGGGTCGACAGGAAGCCATGGCCAACGCACAACAGCTGCGACGCCGAAAGAGCGGGAACCGGCGTGTCGGATGGCCCTGTCTGTCTTCGATTGGTCGCTCTTCCGCGACTCTCGGCTCATGTTGCTGGCCGTCGCCCATTTCTGTTGGGCGTGCGCGTACCTCGGGACCCTTCCCCACTGGCCCAACTGGTCAGCCCACACGCACACACACACACACACACACATACATACATCAACCCGTCATTTACTTCTTGCCGACATTGTGTGCGCTCTTTCCATTCATGTGTTCAGGGGCACAGAGAACGGCCTCTCGTCTGACCTAGCCGCGCTAACGGTAACGGCATTCGGAGCGTCATCGACCGCCAGCCGGATCATTCTGGGCAAGGTTGCTGACCTGGTCGGCCGGATCGGCACTTTCTTCTGCTGCACAGTCGTGATGGCCGTCGACGTGGCCCTTCTCACCGTCGCCCGCGGCCTCTGGCAGCTGGTCCTCTTCGCCTGTGTGTTCGGCATCGCTTCGGGCGCCCGCTTCTGTCTGACTCCCTGCGTTGTCGCCCAGCTGTTCGGCACAAAGCGCCTGCCAGTCGCCCTTGGCTTCCTTCACATGATCATCGGTGTGGCCGGGCTTGTTTGCGGGCCGGTGGCCGGCCTCATCGCCGACAAGCTCAGTTATCCTGTCGCATTTGGCCTGCTGGCAGTGCTGGGGGCGGTCGGGTCAGCGACGTTCCTTCTTGTGTGGGTGAAGACGTCGTGCGGTGGTGCAGAGCAGCTCGACGACATTGCCGCACCTGCACTGAGAGAGGCGTCCGGTGGCTGTGGTGGTTGTGCGAGGGGGGAGGAGAGGGTTTAATTCAGTGGGTCAACTGGGGCGGGTGGGTGCAATTTAGGTCACTCTGTGGCTGGCTGGAGACTGCAGCCCAGCCTCTCTTTTTCAGCTGGCTGTCGACATGCATATTTATCTGTGTTGGTGCCATCCATGTTTTATGTGAGCTGCACTGTACCGTGCGACACCATTGTTTTGTTGGGGGATGGGTGTGTGCCGTATGTCTGGCCAGCTCGCGTGCCAATTAACAGACAGGCAGACAGACAGGCGGAGGGACAACGACGTTTTGCTGTCTTGTCGGTTTTTTTCCTCCTCCTCCTCCTCCTCCTCCGTCTGTCTGTCTGTGTTGCGTCTGTACTGCATGTTGTGATCGGGGAGATGGATGGGATGCAAGTGGGACCTTTTGGCGCCTGCGCTTCCCTTGGAGCATTCATTAAATGTTCTAAGGGGAATTCGCATGTATGCGGCCGTGGCTGGGGTTTTGTCAATGTACGCATGGCCATGCGTGTGCGCCCGTGTGCTGGCATGGCCTGCCGCGTCTGCCGTGTGTGTCTGTGTGTGTGTGCGGTGTGTGCGGTGTGTGCGGTGTGTGCGCGGATGATGAAATGAATGGCCTCTCATGGATGTGGACGCAAGTTGGAACATACCCACCCATGTGTGTTCCTCAGTGCCTCTCACTTAGTTATACAAAAGAAAAGATGGTGTCTCTCACACGAAATCAAACGAAATTAACAAAGGAACATGCAGATGAATTCTGATGGAACAGGACCTCATGCGATAAAAGGAACGCGTCGTTAGTGAGGTGTGTGTCCGTGTGGTGTCTGTGTGTCGTGCACAAAGTGTGTGCGCATGCCCGTGGCGTGTTGGGGTTTCGGTGAAACGCAGAAGGGCGGGCCAACATGGGTGAGGCTGTGCCCACCAATGTGTGAAATAGACCCCTAAAAAAGACCCCCAAAAAGACCCCTGTTGTCAGCCGAGGACGTCGGCGAGACCCCTGCTAAATCGTAGTGTTGGCCGCTCAGGACCCCTGCGTTGCGAGCTTTGCGAGCTGGAAGCGGATTCCCTGGCTATCCTCACCCGTCTGGAGGCTCCTGGGCGCTCGGGGCGGTCAAGAGCAGCTTGGATAAGCACCAGCTATCATCGCCTGACCTCCAATTACCCTCTGCAGTGGCCAAAACGCCCGACAAACGAGAAAACTGAGACCCCAGGATTGGCGCCACGGAGAGAGGCGGGACCCCTATTTTGACACCTGTAGGGGTCCGAAGAACATCCGCTTTGCTCCAAGACCCCAGATCCGAGACCCCTGGAGGCCTTATTTCACATACTGGTGCCCACCCCCCCTCCCCCTGTGCCCTTTCTCAACGACGTGGCGAACTTGGCGGTCAGAAAGACACCGACAGACAGACAGACAGACAGACAGAGCGCGACAAACAGGGCAGATCTTGGTGTGCATGTGGGTGTTCAGAAATCCTTCAAAGAGCTCTTCGGTCCGCACCCAGAGGGGCACCTCATTGTGGCATGGAGCAAATATATTGCAACTGATATACTACGAATCCCTCAACACCAGATAATCATTGAAATATTCCACGGAAGGGCCCGTCCGTGGGACAAGGTGAGCACACAGCACACACCCACGCATGCAGACGCAAAGAGCTGTGCCCTCTCTCACGCCCCCCCTCCCTCTCCCTCCCTCCCTGTCACAGCGGACAGCCGAGCTCCACGAGTATTTCGACAGTCAGCCCAATGTGAGAGGGAGGTACTACGACTACAAAATCAATGGCGACCAGAAGGGGGTGGACTGCGGCATAGTATTAAAACTAGCGACGATTGCCGTCGGTACACCGCCAGACACACACAATATGACAACATGGCAGCACCTGCAATGGGTGCGTCTTCTGCTTCGGTTTCAGACTATGACAATGAGATGCAAAGAGGAAGATTCAGTGCATTTGTTAACGATACCGCAGTTGTGTAAGCGCGCGCGCGCGCACACACACACACACACAGACGCACACACAGAGAGAGAGAGACCCGTTGTATGCTTGTGTGTGTTCTGACTGCTGCGTATCCACTAGGCTTAATGGTGACGGGGATTGCGGGGAGGCCGTCCTCAAGATTACAACGGGCTCTTTGGAGCTGACCCGTCCCGTCCAGCATTGCCTGCGGGTCATTATGGCAGGATTCTGGCCCAATATGAGGTTCGCAAACACACGTACCCTATGTGCCATCTCTGTGTGTGCTATGTCCGTGTGTGTGTGTGTGTGTGTGCAGCAATGATTATAGAAGAATGGAAGGGGTCACTATTGTCGACCTGGACAAGTCGCCTCACTTAGAGGGATGGCTTAAGGTACTCGCGAGAGGCGCACGAGAGAGCAGCACCACATATGAGCATCTCCCCTCTCGTGGTGTGGGTGGTGTCGTGCAGATTGTATTGTCAGATAATAACCTTCTGCACACGAACAATTTCCAACTAGGATTGCTCTACTCGTAAGTGGCCACACGTCCGCCATCGTGTGCATCCATGTATGCCCTTGCCTCACAGGTCGAGGGAGCACGACAAATCGGTCACCGAAATGCGCAGGGGTGTTGGCAATACCGAGGGCCTGCTCATCATCATCTACACACCACGATCCATTTTCGGCGCATACATCAATGGCGGCCTTCAGCCCGACCAGCCGACCACACGCAGCAATTCTGTGCGGATTTTCTCAGTTCTCGGCCACTTTTCCGAGCCGAAGAGCATTCCGTGTGCGCAGTATGTGGAGCCGGATGGGGTGGGTGCGAATGTGAATGTGGGTGGGTCGCTGTACTTGGGCTGCAACGGTGCCCGCCCAGTTGACAATATTCTCTGCTGCCATCAGCAGACCGATGAAAAGATTGTACCTGTCGGTTACATGGGTCAATGGAATAGCGATGGTTATGCAGTGTTGGGCGGGGAGAGTGATTTCGATGCTTGTGGAGTGGACATTTTCTTGGCCACATTGTAGGTCGATCCTTTCTTACCTTCTCTCTCTCTCTCTCTCCGTCTCTCTCTGTCCCGCTAGGTCGGTGAAAGAATGAGAAAAGAACAGGTAGGCGGTCTAGTAGACCATGAAGTAATGGATTAAGACAATGTGTGTCGTGTGTATGATGGATGGCTGGGACAACTGAACTGGTCTCCCTGTCCAGCGCACACACGACTCAGATGCACAGATAGACATGCATGCACCCACACACGCTCGGGGAGAGAGAGAGGGATATAGATAGCGACGCTCTTTCTCTGTGTGTGTCTATGTGTATGTGTGTATCAATATTCTTACTATTACATAACCAATATTATTACACAACGAATGCAAAAAATGAGGCACTTCGGTGCCAGCACATATAGAAATGATAGTAATACTGTCTCACCTACCTCTCTCTCTCTCTCTCTGTGTGTGTGTGTGTGTGTGTGTGTCTGTGAATGTGTATGTGTATGTGAGTGTGTGCATGTGTGTTGGGGGAGAAGAGCGGGTGGGTGGGTGGATGGATAGATGGATAAGGGGTGGGATCGACGCCTCTCTGTGGGGCCCTGTGTGTGTGGCCGATCGTCTATTGGTCCCTATGTGTGGAGGCGTGTGCCGGTGCGTCTGCGTGGGCTGCATGGCTGTTTGGGTGTGCTCGGGGAGACAGTCTTTCGTGGAAGCTCTTTGTTTGTGTGCGTTTGTACTGGATGGCTGGATGTGTCTTTGCGGATATCGTTCCTGATGAAATGAATGGCCTTTGTAAATGCTATCACCAGACACAGCGGCTTGAAGCTTTGAAGAGTCGTTTGTCCCTCAGTGCCTCTCACTCACGCAAAAGAAAACATGGTGTCTTTCACACACAGGCGAGAAATCAAACGAAATCAATGACGGAAGGTGAACAAATTGGATGGCTGTTCATTGCGGCTGGCCGCCCTTGCGAAAGTAAGGCGTAGTGTCATGAACTGAGCCATAGAACTCGCAGTAGGCCGCTCTGTCACGCTTGTACAGGTCCCGGGCCTTGCTGCCCTGAAATGCATGGAGGCACACAACAGTCCGAGACACTGCCGACGAGACATGTCGATCGACACAAAGGATCTTACTTACCCCGAGGGCGGTCCAGCACTTGGCATTGGTCTGATCCCACACAGCTGCTCGGACACACACAAACGTAACCACACACACCGCGTACAGCAAGTGTGTGTGTCTGTGTGTGTGTGTACCAGGTCTGAATGGCGCGGCATCTCCGCTGATGGTGGCCACCTTGGCCATGTTCTGCGCTGTCTTGGCGAGGAGTGGGGCGTCCTTGGTGTCGCAGAATGCCTGGATGCCGTCATACGCTGCCGTCAAGTAGGTGAACACGGCCTCCCCGTCAATGCAGCCACGATACCTTCACACACACATACACACACACATCACACGCCACGCCCATGACGCCCCTGTTTGTTTGCCTACCATGCCACCTCGGGATCGAAGAATGATCCGGGGTCGGCTGTGCGCCGGTCAGGGGGCGGGCCGCGAACAAGATCTCCCGGCATCCAGGCGAAAGGATACCAGAAGGCCTCGAAATCTGGCAGTGGCCCGGAAGACGGGAAGTTCTCCACCCACTTCTTCCACTCGTCAGTTGCTGCAGGGGAAGGAGAATCGCATTTATGTGTGTGTGTGTGTGCAGGGGAATGGTTGTGGTGTGGTGTGGTGTGGGCGGCTTGGCTTACTGTCAACGTAGACGGACCGCTGGTGGCTGTAGGTGTGAGCGTGGTCGGCGATGCTTGATATCAGGGGCAGCAGCTCGCGGCGGCCGGCCTCGCTGCATACGGCGAAGTTCCACCTGAGAGACAGGCATGACACACAAACAGGCGCAACCAAAACAAATGCATGTGTGTGGCGACAGAGCAGCTTGTGTGGTGTGTATGTGACGTACCAGTCCACCAGCAAGTGTTTGGGCACCAGATGGTGGCTGCAGGGCAACACAGAGAACGCGTGTGTGGATGGATGGATGGGTCATGGCGCTGTTGATTCATGCGCTGCGCCCTTGCCTGCCCCGCCCCCTTACTAAGTGAGAGGGAAGTGGCTGTTCCCCTGTGAGTAGTGCTGGCCTTTTAAGTAGGGCTTCCTGGTGATGGAGGGGTAAGGGATCTGCCTGCACAAACCAACCAACCAAAGATCCACCCACACAAGTACACACCAGCCACATCAGATCCCCTGCCATACGTACATTTCCTCGCCGATGGAATCGCACGTGAAGCCCTCAGGGATCTCCCTGCAGTATTCCTGCACCGCCAGCACCCACACCCCACCAGAGAGCACCATCCCCGCCACCACATCCATGGAAGATCTCCCACCCCGCTTACGTTGTTCATGTAAGTGTGCGGTCCATGTAAGGTCTTCTTGCGCTTGGCACCGAAGTCGATGTCATTGCACTTGAACTGAGGGCCCTTGTGGCGGTGGCGGTCATGGCCACCGCCACGGCCCCGTGGGCCACGGAGGGCGGTGGAGGTGTCATTGGATGAGGTGAGGATGGATGCGGATGCGGGTGAGGGGAGGCTGGGTAGGATGAACAACAAAAACACGAGGAACGCCGACGAATGCATTGTCAAAGGGGAAGGAGGAGGGAATATAGGGAGATGGCCGGGACCTCAGTCCAGATGAATTTACGTTCCAGGGATAGATCTCTCGGTTAAAAGAGCCTTTGTTGGCAGCGATGATGGGCATGGCGACCAAGTATTTGCTCCTCATCGCGCTGGCGGCCATATCGGCAGTGGCCATGGCGACGGCCACGCGCGGCGACTGTGAGGAGGGATACGACTGCCCTGCCGACGGTAGGTAATGGTTGGCTCTGAGAGGGAGGTAGATCTACGGCACACCCATCACTCCTGGCTCATATGTGGCTGTCCTACCTGCTGCTGTGTGCAGGTGGGTCGTTTGTGGACCGCACGGGCGAGATCTCCGGCATGGCTGCGGGCAACGCAGGTGCGGCCGGGATGGGATGGATGGGAAGATGCGATGGATGGTTGCATCTGTGGTGCATCGCGTGTGTGTGTGGCGGTGCTGTGCTGTGTGTGCAGGTGCGTTGTCGGAGGGCTCTGGGGCGGCGGCGTTTGTGCAGCAGCAGGTGCAGCAGGCCAAGACCATGATGATGGCGGCCAACAAGATGAGCCAGGCGGCCAAACAGATGGCCGCGAGCGCCCTTGACGCCATCCACACCGCCGAGCAGCAGATGAAGGCCTTCACCAAGGGGTAGGGAGGCAACACGCAGCCGGGTAAGCGATGCGCGGGGGCGGGCAATACGCATACATATGTCTGTCTGTCGTGCGCGGTGTGAGTAAGGTTCTCCTTGTGGCACCGAGGCCAAGAATGACTACTGCAAGGACAAGGTTGACGGAACTGTGTGCGCTCATGTCCAGAATACTGACGGGGAGCTCATTGTCTGCTACTGCCTGAACGGCAAGTGCCAGGTACGTACGCCACACTCTCCACACACACATTCACAACGCACTCGTCGTCTCTGACTCTCTGCACGACGTTGATTGGCTGCGTGTTGCCTGATGTCTGTCTGTTTGGTGGTTGGCAGTCAAAGCCGTATTACCGTTGAGAAACCCATTCCATCTATGTGGCACTGACTGATAGCGCACCTCACTTAGAACACACACACTACTTGAGTGGCTGGCTGCTCGAAATGGCTGTCTGCCTGTTTGGCCGTCTGGCTGCCCGTGGGATGGATGGCCGTCTCGTCGTCGACTGATCTGCAAACCTCTCTCTCTCTGTCTGTCTGTCTGTCTGTCTGTCTGCCCATTCCCACGACTGTAGCCACCACACACGCACACACATACAAACACGAAGAACGACCAGACAGAACACACTACTGCTAGCCGCGTTTTAAGAGGGGGACCGACCGACATGTGTCTGTCGATAAGGGGCGGAGGGAAGGGGCACTTTCTGAAGAACAGAACACATGTCGGGCCGTTGCATAGCCAGTGTGTGTGTGCGGGGTGTGGAGTGTGCTGCTGCCGCTGGTGGGGTGTGATTTGTGTGGCTCGATGGTTGATGGGATGAGTGGACACAGACACACACACGCATGTGCGCACTTAATTGAACCACCCATGGACCACACAAGACGTTGATGCGATTCGGATCATTCGCTTACTGGCAAACACACACATTCATGTCTGTGGCAGACAGACAGACACGAACACGTCATTTCTAAACACATTTGGCCCGCTACAGCCCCCCTAGGTATGGCCCGCCTCATCCACTCGTCTCATCCACTCATTCGGCCATTCCCCCAATGTAGCCGCTACGCTAGCGAGAGTGCACGGACATAATAACAGTATGCACGTCTCAGAGACGTGGCCTTCATCCAGCTGCTCAAGTGCCTGTGGATGGTGGAGCACCGACCAAAGGACCAGATCTGGCCGACGCCTTGCGACTCGGTCCATCTTTCACTTCGCCCAATGCGGCTGCTCCAATGGTCAACACCGATCGATATCCTCAACACAAGATGATTGGACACATCATCCACCACATGTGTTTGTCTCGTGGCCCATCCATCCATCCATCCTCTATCTATCTATCTATCTATTTATCTATCACATGCGCAAAGTCGCCAGGCTCAGCAGATCCTCGCACTCTTCACACCACTCACACACACACCAACCATCGAAACCACCACTCCCTGCTGCCGCCCGCATCTCGGTACCGCCACCACCACCATCGGCATGACGCCTCCCAGCCATCTCCTCATCTGCGCCATGCACTTGGTCCACCATCGGGTTGCCCCCTCCCTCTTGCTGCTGCTGCTGCTGCTGCTGCTCAGGGGCCGCACGCGCACGATTGACACTCACAATATGGTCGTCAGGTATGGCCTGCTGCTGCTGGTGGAACGCCTCGGCGGGTGTGTGCGTCCGTTGCCTTTTGCTGACGCGCCGGTTGAGAGAGACCACATCAGGTGCCTGGGACCCCCGCAGCTTCGTGGCGGTCGTGTATGCGGCAAGGAAGGTGGCCGCTCGGTTGGTGACGGCCTCCCTGCTGGCCGCCGATAGCTTGACGGGCTTCGATGTTGGTGCTGGCGGCCGCACAGACGTCTGCTGCCGGTTTGGTGCCGGTGCCGCGGCTGGTGGTGGGGCCGGCTGGTCGTCGCCCTCGAGCATCTGCTCCAGGAAGTCCTCCACTTCTTCCTCATCCTCCTCTTCCTGATCTCGTTCTTGTCTTTGCTCTTGGTCGCCCCCCTCCTGCTGGTCTATCGGCATCTCTGTCTCTACCTCGTCCATCGCTTGACAATGTGCTTCGTCGACGAAAGGCTCCTCGTGCGGCTGCCGAGGGGCTCCTGTCTGCCGACTCGCCTCGGCTGCGATGGTGTGGATGGTGGAGACGAGGGCAAGACGGAGGGGCTCTGCGGCCATGGGGCACACATGACGGAAGTGGCGTCCTTGACAAGACAGTCCTGGTCGGCGATGTCAGCCGAGAGGGCGACGGACGCCATGGCCATGCGCATGACCCCGGGCAGTGCGGAGGGGGGGTGGGAGGGGACACCACGACGGTGCACACCTGCACACAAAGGCGACGACACATGAGTAGTGAGTGTCGGTATCGACAAGCGGGGTGCTGGGGGCCACTGTACCTCTGAGTGTCCATTCGCCCGATGGGTATTGGGGAGGCGCCGATGCCGCCAAAATCACGTCGCCGAGACTCCGCTGCACACAAGTGCACACACAAGACATGATCCACGTGTTGCCTTTGTGACCCCC